CGCCGCGGCGCAGCCGTAACGCGTCCGTAACGTGTCCGTAACACGTCCGTAACGCGTCCGTAATGCATCCGCAACGCGTCCGCAACGCGTCCGCAACGCGACGCAGACGGACCCGGTGGAATCTAGGGGTCACGGGGGCCGCGCACCTTTGTATTAACGCTGTGTTTCACATTCAACGGTGAAACGCATTAATCGGAGCTATTATACCAGGCAAGGTGTATTTTCTGACAACAGCACGGCAGCAATAGCGTCTCTTGAACCCGCACAGTGCTTTGACAGCACTTTCTGTGGTTTATTCCACTCACGTGCGTGCGCCCACCTGCTGGCTCCTTTACTGGAGTTTACAGCGGGACGGCGAGTGTGGGACAGTGTTCTGTCCTCTGAGGATGAGCAAGAAGCAGCATAGCAGCGACTACTCCTCATCCACGTGACCAAGGAAATCGATCCAAAGAGCCCTTCCGTAAACACGGGGGCTCCCAGGAGATCATCACGGTCTTTTTGGAAAAGTGCCATGCGGCGTGATCCCCCCAACACACCCGTGTTTATTTGCAGCTGCCCTTTCACGCGGCCGCGGGGCAGAGGTTCTGCTGCCTGCTGGGAGCAGATGGCCACGCTCCGCCGCCATGGTCATCACCTAGGGGGAAGTACAGACCTGGGCGGTGGATTTCCATGGACACCGGACCCGGAAGTGCCCGACAACGAGAAGTCCTCGTCATCCTCCCCGGCAAACTAAGCCATCCGCCCCGCTGGAATGGCGAACGTGAATGGCACCGCCTCGGCCATATCCTTGTCCCCCAAACACTCGAAGCAGAGGTGGTGGGGATCGGCGCCCGCTATTAAGCCAGGGAACGAAGGACAGGCCTGGTTCTCTAGAAGTGGCGACTCCATGAAGGTATGATAACTCTTTCTTCTTCTTTCAAACGTTTTACTTTCTCTGCTTCAGTAGTTGCTCGCTCTCTGAAGAGAAAAGGATGACAGTCAGGAGGCGTGGCCGCCTTATATAGGGTGGGCTTGCGCACGCATTCAGGTAGGCCCGCCCCGAGGGGCCGGCTACGTTTATAGATATCTCAGTAGGTGAATGCTCGCATAGTTTGGTTAAGAGGTAGTACCCATAGAGTCCAGTAGAGGGCGGAGCCTGTGTAAAATATAACCACATCAAGGATTATTTCTGAAACAGTATGGAGCTCAAACGCTTTCTCTCTCACGGGTTCACCACAAGTACCTTTTTATATCCAGCTTCTTTACACATGCTCTCTCCAGTACAGCGTTAGCTCTGAGTGTTAGCGATGCTTGCTAATGTAAACAAAGACCATAATATGGTCTTTGTTTACATTAGCAAGCATGCTAACACAGTAATATTATTACTTCCAAACACGTCGCACATTGTTTCTGATACAGCAACGTTTCTGATAGGGGACGATAGGTTGGACGTTGCCAGGAGTTCAACGTAAAGCCAGCCCACATTTTAGTAATGACGTCATGACCGCAGCAAATCTAGATCAGCTCCATTGTACCCCCGTTTTTAGAGATGTGGGTAATGAGGAAAAGAGAGAGGGTTGTATTTTCTGACACTTTGTGAGTCTCCTTACACACCGGGGACACATATTTATGTATAAAAGACATCACAAAGTGTATTTTGCATAATAGTTTATTAATAATAATAATAATAATAAATTCGATTTTTAAAGCACCTTTCATTGCTAACAGCAATCCCAAGGTGCTACAGGAGGCATAATAAAAACAAACAAAATAAACAAAAGTTTAATCAAAAGCTTTTTTTAAAAGAAAGGTTTTTAGGCCTTTCTTGAAGGCGTCAGTGGTCTGTGGAGTCCTCAGGTGGTCTGGGAGGGAATTCCACAGGTGAGGAGCAGCTGCACAGAAAGCCCGATCCCCCATTGTGCGGAGTTTACCTTTAAAGGCAGAGCTGAAGACTACAAACAGGATCCTGACGTAGTTACCCGCTGTGTCCAGGTGCTGGAGTAGGAAGTGAAGCGCCATGGGGGTCCAGCAGGGGGTCTGGGATAGTTTTGATGTGGGACAAGGCACTCATAGGACTTCATAACCATGGAGGTCAGGGCGAAGGGTCTGTAGTCATTTCATCCTGTGATCCTTGTTTTCTTGGGAACCGGGATGATGGTAGAGGTTATCGGAACATTGCTTCAGGGTGGAGGGGGAGACATTGTCCGGGCCAGCCGCTTTTCTTGTGCTGAGTTTTCTGAAAAGTCTATTTACTTCTCTCTCATTGACAGACAGAGTCAGTGATGTGTCGGGGGAGGGCAGTGGTGTAGGGGAAGCAGGTCTCTGATGGGGTGGGGAATGGGGAGGTGGGAGACTGAAGCTGGTGGAAGGTGTCAGGGGGGTGGGTGACAGGACTGTACCCTCGGTCTTCAAAGCGACAGTAAAACTGATTCAGATCGTTCATGGAGTGTGAGGCCTTTGGCTTGTAGTTTGTGACCTGTCTGAGGCTACGCCACACAGATGCAGAGTCGTTATGACGAAAAATGTTCGTCAACTAACTTTTTTACATGACTAAGACGAGACGATGAAGAGCTAAAAATAGATTTTTGATAATAAAAATTGCGAGGAAATGTATATTTTGTTTTCGTTGACGAGACGAGACGGGACTAAGGTGTTAATGGTGGACTATCGGACATTCAAAATGCAGGATATTTTCCCCCAATTGACCGTCTTGTCTGTCAAAATGCATCCCTATCATTGGTTGAATTAGTTGGGATTCTCGGAATCTGCACACGTCACTACACAAGTAAAGTGTTAAGAGAGTGAAATGTTGCTTTACGAATTTCAACACTTGTTACTGTCACATTGATTCCAATTTCAGATACCTGTATTTGCCTAACTGAATTAGTTTAAAGAGAGAAAACATGTTGACTAAAAGTTGACTAAAATGTAATGATTTTTCATCGACTAAAACTGGACTGAAACGTTTTGAGTTGTTGTCGACTAAAACTAAAACTATGAAGGATAAAAAGGACTAAAATGTGACTAAAACTAATAACCGTTTTCGTCTAAAGACTAAGACTAAATCTAAAATAGCTGCCAAAATGAACACTGTAGCTGAGGACTGTTGTTGGAGTTTCTCAGAATACAGCCGTTTAGCATCTCTCACCACCTTGTTAACCTGTACTTTGATTCAATAAAACGTGCTTTATCACCACTCCAGAACGCCTCCTCCTTCTGCAACCCAAGCTGTCTCAGTTTTGCTGTGAACCAGGGCTTGTTGTTGTTGTAACTCACTTTGGTTACTGTTGCTACACAGCTGTCCTCACAGAAGCTGATGTATGACGTCACAGCCTCTGTATAGAGTGGTGCAGTCACGCGTCCAAAACCCGGAAGTGAGTCAGCATTTTACCACTTCCTGTTCCCTCGTCTCAGAGCCAATGGGATTCCTCCATAGGATTTTGGAAAATAGCTGGAAATAAGGTCTGTGGTTGACACAAATTGAAGAGACGGATCACGTTTGGTTCTACGACATTAAATACATCAGCAGTGACCCCACTGGTGATTTTTGAGCTGTTTACGTGTCTGAAAAACAATGGTTGTTAACAAGTGGCTGAATAGGACTATAGAAGTTGTCGAGGACGTTGTACGTCATTACGCCGAACACGTAAACACTCCCGCTAAGTTTGTTTGCCCTGTTTCTCTTGCAAACTGTTAAAACAAAAGCTTCAACTTGTACAATTTTGAATCTGTATTTTTGAATATCGATCTTAAGTTGGCGTGACGTTGAAGCAGCGACCCTGCTGTAGTTCGTTTATAACATAACGTTAGCATTTTGCTTCTGGCTATCAGATTTATGATTCGAAAATTATAAAAGTAGGGTAGACATGTGGATATTATCCGGCTGATCAAAACGTGCATTTATCAAACAGAACGTTCTCAACAGACCTTATTTTGAGCTATTTTCCAAAATCGAATGGAGAAATCCCATTGCTTTTTTGTCGAGGGAACCCATGCACAGCTTACTTCCGGGTTTTAGGACGCGTCACTGCACCACTCTATACTCATCCAGACTTTGAGTAGCAGTCCTGAACACATCCCAGTCAGTACAGTCCAAACACGCCTGAAGATCCTCCATAGCTTCACTGCTCCACTGCCTGAATGTCCTCACTACAGGTTTACAGAGTTTGAGTTTCTGCCTGTATGCAGGAATCAGGTGGACCATGGTGTGGTCAGAGTGGCCCAGTGCAGCGTGGGGGACGGCGTGATAGGCTCCCTTGATGCTGGTGTAGCAGCGATGCAAAATATTCCCCTCTCTGGACGGGCATTTAATGAACTGTCTGTATGTTGGTAGTTCATGACTGAGTGTAAAAACTATTAAGCTGGGTTTGAGCTTTGCCTGAAGTGCTTCTGTCAAAGTATGAGGACCAGATGAGAGCCGTTTAACCATTTATTTATTTCACAAGGGTTGTTGACCGTCACAGATAAAGGTGATGATTTTAAGACTAGAATGTAAACATAAAAATAGCAATCAGGAAGCGCAAAAACACTATGTCACAATAAAATCAAATATTGCCTTAGCATGGTAAGCATAAACAAAGCTATCATTAATTATAAAACATATTAACAACTTTCTCAAAGAATGCATCAAACAGTCAACTGGTGAGGAGAGCACATGTGAATCAGCATGCTGCTTCAGATACAGGAAGAAGACTGAGCCGGGCTGATTCTGGCCTTATATGGGTTCAGGTAGGCCTGGTAAGTGGAAGCTAAGCCCCGCCTGAGCCACAGCCACTGACCTGTCTTTTTTTCCTTTTTTCATTTGATTTATTCCATACCCATATAATTATGTCCTATTTATTTCTAATCATCTACTGCTACATCAATCTTCTCTTTTCATTATTTATCATCTTTATAAAGCATGTCATTCCATTTCATTCTGACACTTTTTAGGGTAACATCTGTAGAGACTACAGATTAATAATAATATAAATTAAGCTAAAATGACTCACTCTGAGAAAATGTTTCATACAGCAGTTACTTTTTATTTACATAAAGTGCATCCAAAGCAATAAGGTTAAAACTACTAACAGTGCAAATAATCAAAACACCTTCATTCCTCTATACTGCACTTCTGCCTCAGATCTCAATCATCATTAGCTGACAGATATAGGAAATGTAATAAACTAAAAACAATCAGATTATACCAAAAATGTTCCTCAATCCTGTGGATAATAAACTGCACTCATCAGTGATGTCCTGATGTCTCTTCAAAGTGCTTCTGTGCTGCGGGGTTACATTTAAAATCTCTACTTCAGGATTGAGCTCTCCATAATGCGTTCCAACACAACTGCACTACCTACGGCCTCATACATGAACACAGAAGTGAATCCATTGCTCTCTGACACACTGTCGACAAAACTGTATATAAGAAGTGTCATAAAGGTAGACAGGGTTGTTCAAAAGACTCATAAATAAAGCACTGACACTCTGTCAGTTTAAGAAAATCAATAAATAAATCAGGAAATAATAAAACAAATCTAAAATACATGTATTCATAACTAGTACAGCTGCTGCATTTAACATGCAAATAAATATAAATAATAACTGATCCATTTTAGATGTTTATCTTAGGCAGCAAACGGAGAAGTCATGACGAACAATGTTGGAAAGGGGAGACTCAGACTTCCCAGGAGGGCCTGACCTGAGGCCTGCCGATCCTCATCTGTGGAAATAATAAAAAAAGGCATGATTATTGAAATGAGAAATACACTCATTCACAAACTGTTCTTATCGAGACATTTATTTTTAAAACCCACTAAAGCAGCTTTTACAAAGATTTTGACGCTAATCAATGTTTTCTTATTTTGGATTTGTTTGGTCAAAACTGAATTGAAGAGCATACAAATAAATTAACCATTTAATTAATACCAAATACACAATTCTACAGTTCTGTAATAGAGGATTTGATTGCGATAATATGCATTTTCATTATCCTATGGTTATTTATCATAATAATCACTCATAAATGAGAAAATCGATAGTTAATTAAACCTAACTTTTTTAACGTATTTACTGTTAACAGACAATGAAATGATAATTTACCATGTATTGTTATTAGTACCGGTAACACTATTGTAATAGTTTATAGTTGCAACTTTTACATTGTTAATGATACCAAAACATTTTAGAATAAATAGATAGACCAGAGACTTATACCAAATCATTATGTATCATCATGTCTATGATAATGATACAATAATGATTAAATATGCTTTTATAGGATTTATAAAGCATTTATGTTCATAAAAAAACAAACCTGGTCTCACCAAAATACGTGAAATGAACATGACTCCTTAACACCGCATTACGTGGTGGAAACACGAAATCTGCTAAATGACGTGTCGGCACCACGGAAACAACCCCAATGTAAAGTGATCCTTTTTCGTGGTGGACACACACATTTCTGCAACGTCCCGCAGTGAGCTTAATGTTGTTTTCTACTCTATAAAACGTTTTTAAAATCTACTTTATTATGGAGGTTATTCCCTATCTTTATTCAAGAGCGTGTTCTTTCAATTTGAGAGCATCATTTATTGATTTCACGTTCAGATTTGGTATTTCTTTCAGTCAAACCCTGTCCTTGCGCTTAGATTTGCTCTGCTTCTGCTCAAACTGTACGCTTGCACTCAGATATATTGCTGCTTGCACAGATTTCCTGTTTTCCAGTTTAAAACCTTCTCCTCGCACTCAGGCTGCTTCTGTGCGCTCGTCAAATGTCTGCTCTCAGATTTCTGCTCTGCGCTTGGATTTTTTCTGTGCAAAAACCATTTCAAAATCCCTCAACCAATAGGAGGCCAGGTGAAGTGTCATCTCCTTGCTGGGGCGTTCGCTCTTTAACCAGGTTTATAAACTCCCTCCACGGCTTTATTAAATGTAGCATACTTCACTTGCTTTATTTACGACTTTTTATTTGAATGGTACTATTAGCGTTAACTTTACTTCCTGCAAATTAATTTGGTAGTCATATTTGCGGCACATCTATGATAATAACTGGCTTTCAAGTGTTGTACATTAGGCCTACGTGAACACTGTTGCTAGGCAACTGACAACAAAATGTGTTTATTTTTTTCTTAGTTATTTCATTGTTTAGGAATGGGGAAATATAATAAAAGAAAAATAAATGTTTCTTCATGTCATTTTTTTATTTAAGATCGTATGTTGCATATTTGCTTCAGAGAAATGCACAATAAATTGTGTAACATGAACTGTACCTATACTTAGTGAGGGCAACATGATCTTAAATAAAAAATTACATGAAGATTTATTATGAATTATATTTCCCAATTCCTAATCAATTAAATAACTAAGAAAAAAGAAACACATTTTGTTGTCAGTTGCCTAGCAACAGTGTTCACGTAATGTACAACACTTGAAAGCCAGTTATTATCATAGATGTGCCGCAAATATGACGACCAAATTAATTTGCAGGAAGTCAAGTTAACGTTAATAGTACCAATAAAATAAAAAGTCGTAAATAAAGCAAGTGAAGTATGCTACATTTAATAAAGCCGTGGAGGGAGTTTATAAACCTGGTTAAAGAGCGAACGCGCCAGCAAGGAGATGACACTTCACCTGGCCTCCTATTGGTTGAAGGATTTTGAAATGGTTTTTGCACAGAAAAAATCCAAGCGCAGAGCAGAAATCTGAGAGCAGACATTTGACGAGCGCACAGAAGCAGCCTGAGTGCGAGGAGAAAGTTTTAAACTGGAAAACAGGAAATCTGTGCAAGCAGCAATATATCTGAGTGCAAGCGTACAGTTTGAGCAGAAGCAGAGCAAATCTAAGCGCAAGGACAGGGTTTGACTGAAAGAAATACCAAATCTGAACGTGAAATCAATAAATGATGCTCTCAAATTGAAAGAACACGCTCTTGAATAAAGATAGGGAATAACCTCCATACTTTATAGCTTGTTGTAACTCATGGGAGGCTTATTTATTTTATTTGTATTCATAATCATTTTTTGTATTCGTCAGCATGTATTATGGTGCATTAGTTACTAGGGACGTTGTAGAAATGTGTGTGTCCACCACGAAAAAGGATCCTCATTCACTTTACATTGGGGAGGTTTCCGTGGTGCCGACACGTCATTTAGCAGATTTCGTGTCTCCACCACGTAATGCGGTGTTAAGGAGTCGTGTTCATTTCACGTATTTTGGTGAGACCAGGTTGAAAAAAACAGTGTGTGTGATCTTAACTGTAATGAAGGGCAGGTTTTCCTATAAATAAAATCATTTTTGATCCTAAATATCTTGGTTTCTTCTTTTCTAAGCTCTAACTCTTGTATTTATTTGCATTGCCTTTGGTAATCCAGAAGTAACGGAAAGTAATCAGGTTACATTACTTTTATATTTCGATACTCAGATTAGGGTTAATGATGTTTTTTACAGGTAATTAGTAGTTATGATATAATACATTGTTAAACTAACCCTCCTGACCCTGTTTGTTATCATTAACAATTTGATTTTTGTTCAAGATAAGAAGTGGAGTTTAAGAAGATCTAAGGAATCTGATGTAGGCTTTTGTTAGCACCTTTCTTAAAATACTTGAATATACTTGAGAATAATCAAACTAATCGAGTTCCTGTGTGTGCACTGACCGGCGGGCTCAATGGGAAGTCTACGCTGGAAGCCTGTGAGAATCCAGCATTCGAAAATGGAACATTGTATCGTGGTGCTGCTCGGGTTGAGGGGTAGTTGCTCGCCCCAAACCCTCTGCTGGCAGGATCCAAAGACAGTGGCGTGAGCGCAAAGGAAGGTGCAGTACGTCTAGATCCTGGATCCTCCTGGTATGATTCATCATGTGTGAATGAAGGGTTTCGGAGCCCTCCTAAAGATAGGACAACAAGGGTTTACGGGAGATTCACACACAACCACCAGTATAATTCTAGTTTGCTCCTGTATAAAAATGGTTCAATATTTTCTAGCAAACTTGGAAAAAAAAAGTAATGTTCGTAATGTTATGTAATTTTATGGTTTAGGATTCTATACCCCAAAAAGTAATTGCCACAGATTCTACGCCGGCATATTACTGCACTCTAGGATCATCTACAAAAATGCAATATGACTATCATAACCACAAAAAAATATAATTGATTTAATACATTTATATTTTGAATGTAAAAGTAGCTAAGACCACACCATCACATGTACTCCATTCAAGTCAAAAGATGCCGCTGTGCTTGACTAGTAACCGATCATTTTAAGATAACACACAAGTTGGTATTGCCTAAAATAGCCTGCAGGCTTTACTCTGGGAAAAGAAAATGCACAGTTGAAAATGTAGTGTGCCTTTACAATAAATGCCAATCTTACCGGCATTAACTGCGTCATCTGAGCTGTTGGATCTGGACCACTCAAAGTCCTCGGTCATCCACTCGTCTACCTGCTGCTTTTTAATATCTTTCTTCCTGCAAACATAGAAAATATTTTTTAAATGTTAAAACTAAATGTTAATTATGTTAGCCATGACGTTTTTTTATTTATTTTTATTTAATTACAATAAATAAAACACACTTGTATTGGCCGATACTGGCATGAACTCTTTTCAAAAACATTTGATAAGTAGGTATTATTAATAAAATCATGTTTTTATGCAATAACATTTTACAAAACTGATACTCGTTTATACTGCCTTTCACAAAGTCTGACACTTTATAATGACTTGATATTAAGAGGAGATTATCTGCATTGGACTCTTCCCACAGTGTTATTACTCTGACCGATATGTTAATATTCCTTGTTTTCAAAAATCTTTGGTGAACAGAATTTGATTGATTGTCTTCGTTAAGCTTACATCTTTTGTTTGCGTTTGTTGAGCAGCAGGAATAGAGATAACCCTCCCACACTCAACAACAGGAAACACAAGGTCACAGATATGCCTATGTAGAAACCGGTCCTCCATATCGGGAGGCTACAGTCATCGCCCAAGTACCAAGTGGAATCCTCCTTTGGGCAACTGAAAAGTAGGAACAAAGTTAAATAGTGAACAACTGTGGTAAACAAGTCAAATAAAGCAGCCAAAAAATTACTCTCCAATAACAGGTCTATCGACAAGTATTTATCAAGGAACCCTGGGAATCTTTAAAGAATAAATGGGGGAAAGATGACATACTAACCCTTTTTATGGATAAATAAGTTGGAGAAAAACTCAGACATCCCTACATGCGTGTAATTCTACGACAGGCTGTCCCATGGTAGAATCTAGTCATCACAAGGTTGCGTTGCCTTCAAGTATACCATGCTTCATGTTCTATTTTTACTCTAAATGGGTCAATAATTTACAAAATGAACATCATGTTGTGTTGAAACTAAAGATTAAGATCTTAAACTTGTCAAACATGTTAACAGAGGAAATTAGAAGTCGGGTAATTTTCTCATTGACTTCTATACAACCATACAGTATCTTCCATTGAAAATGACCTGATGTGGTAGCCAATAGAGTGAGCTTAGCATAAGTAAAGTGTTAATACAACTCAACAATTTTAAGGTATAGTTTAGTATAGCATCTCACGGTAGAGTAGTTCCTACATCTCAATTAAACCAACTTTCACGGTTTTTTGCCTTACAATTCTAGTCCCTAAATTGACAGGGCACACCAACTGAAATTGAGTGATATTGAAAATGAATGCTTACTAATAATCCTTAATATCTAAATGAAGGCTATATAAAGCGGAGGTGTTTATGATACAGAACATTTATTTACAGAACCAAACTGAGAAACCAATCTACTTACTGACAAAGCGCTCCAACGTAGCTGTACACTCTGCAGATTCCTTTATTGTAGCATTTTTTAACCTTCGTATGTAAACTGTTACATACTGTCACACACTTGATGACTCCAGTAACATTCGCAGGTTCGTAGAATTCAGCAATATCTGCATCGTTCACAATTCTTTCACATACACCTGATGAGAAAACACAGATATGAAGAATTCAGTGGATTCTACTGAACTCAGTTAGCATATTTTGTTTATGCTGTTTGTTAGCTTGTTAGATTGTAGCTGGCAGTAGCTAATGATTGCAAATCTTAGGAAAATATTTACTGGGAAGCTCTAGGTCCGGTTTAGAGCCAAAAACCGCACACTTGTTTGCAGTCGCAACTTTCTACATTACGCTTGTTAGCTTGTAGCTGGCAGTGGCTAATGCAGCGTTAGTGATTGTAAAGGTCCGGTAAGGTTAACTGTACACCTTTGCATTCTGAACTGTCAATATGCTAATTCCAACATTTTTTCTCTGTTCCAACTATGTTATTCTGCTCTGGATGTTTCAGGTTCATTATAGGTGTTGTGTCAAAGACTTTTTCCATATTGAGATATGTCAGAGTTTGCATATCGGGGAGCAATTGGCTGTTTTTAATTTGTTATATCTAGCTTGTGTATGTTTGAATCTCAGATTTTACGTAAATTCGAAGACATCTCACCCTCCAAGTAGAGGAATATGAAAACACCTCTCTCGGAACAATGCATGGATAAAGGTCAGTATATAACGGTCAGACATGTTGAGGGCTTTGTAAGTGGATATTACGATTTTAAAGCCAATGTGGTGTTTGATGGGGAGCCAGTGGAGGTCATGGAGGATTGGGGTGATGTGGTTGGAGCGTCTGGTGTAGGTGAGCATGCGGGCAGCTGAGTTTTGGACATATTTAAGTTTTTTGAGGATGTATGCAGGTGAACATGAAGAATGCTGTTGCAGTAATCAAGACGGGATGTAATGAAGGCATGGATCAGAGTTTCATCAGCGGTGGATGACAGGGAGGGCCTGATGTGGGCGATGTGCTTTAAGTGGAAGAAGGCAGTTTTTGTGAGCTGGTTAACATGAGGAAGGAAAGTGAGGGTGGGGTCGAGGATGATGCCAAGGTTACGGACGTGAGTGGAGGGGTTGACAATGGAGCCGTCAATGGTAAGTGAAAAATCCTTGGTTGAGTGGGTAAGTGATTTTGGGCCGATGATTATGAGTTCCGATTTGTCGCAGTTTAGCTTTAGAAAATTGTTTTGCATCCAATTTGTAATGTCAGTGAGGCAGGTGCTGAGCTGGGAGTGTGTGGTTGGAGAAATAGATTTTGTTGAAAGGTAGAGCTGTGTGTCATCGGCATAACCGTGGAACTGGACTTGGTGTTGACGGAGGATTTGTCCAATTGGGAGGATGTAGATTATGAACAGAAGGGGACCAAGTACAGAACCCTGAGGGACGCCATGATTGACAGGGGCTGTGGGGGATTTGGAGTTGTTGATGGAGATGAATTGATGTCCGACAGAGAGATAGGATTTAAACCAGGAGAGGGCAGTGCTAGTTATGCCAATGGAAGACTGAAGGCGGGTGATGAGGATGGAGTGGTTGATCGTGTCAAATGCGGCGGTTAGGTCAAGGAGAATGAGAATTGAGAGGGAACCAGAGTCAGCAGAGAGGAGAATGTTGTTGGTGACCTTGAGTAGGCCATATTTTGTGCTGTGGCAAGTGCGGAAACCAGATTGAAAAGGTTCATGAAGGTTATTGCAGTCCAGGTGGGTTTTGAGTTGTCCAGTGAGGTAATTTGGCTGAAGGCTTAAAAAGGATGCCTGGAAGGAGGATGGGAGGCAGGTTCCGGATAAGGATGGGTGGTGGTGAGACGGAGGTGTTTTTCTAGGTTGCTGTGTATTATTTCAATTTTGCTTCGGAGGAATGAGAGGAATGATTCACACTTTGAGGTGGTGAAGGAGTTGGAGATGTTGTCCATGAGTTTTAGGAGCTTGTTAATAGTTGAAAAAAGGGTCTTTGGGATATTGCTGCCAGATTGTATGACGGAGGAGTAGTGGAAGGAGCGTGCACTGTTTTTGTACTGCTGTTGGTGCAGTCAATAAATGTCTTTGTGGAGAGTGAGACCAGTTCATTTAGCATGTCTTTCGTGCTGGCGGCCATGCCCAATGGCAACCCCAACTTTTGTTTTGATACTTAAACAGATCAACAGATCACACTGATGACGTTGATGAATTTAATGAAAAATGCGTACAAAGTGGGGTAATACTGACCTCCCAAATCTGTTTCGGTTTCATTAACTTCAGGAGTAGTTGTGATGTTGTAAGGACAGTCTGAAAATACAGAAGACAAAACATGATATTGTACCTTATTACATAAAAGGGTTTTGTGGTATTTTGATGAATTTATAAGAAAAATACTTCAATTTAATGCTAAGAAAACTCTTGTATTTCAGTGAATAAGGTTCTGTTCTCATGTTTTCCTTAGAGTGCATAGTGTATATGATCATATTGGTAAATATGAATTTTCTGTTTTACCTGGGAAGCAGTCAACAAGCCCTCCAACAGCCGCCTCAACTGCTTTGACATCTTCCTCATATATATAGTCAAAGCTGGCGTTGTTTGGAATTGCCAAAACCACATCATGTGTGACACTAACACTGGGGAAGAGAAAATGTCATACAGCATGTCAGTACAGGTAAAGTCATTACAATGCTAATTTATTACCTACCTTTATGAATGTCCTATAATTCTATTTATTAGTTTTGTTAGTAAATACATCTGTTACATTAGCCTTAATCCAAATGTGAGGAAATATAGCTTAACCAGATACATCATAATCAGAAGAAATACAGAAGCAACAAAGCAACAAAGCAAAACTGAGGAACAACACAACATAACTGTGTGGGGGACAACAACTATGAACAAGCTAGTCATTAGTAAAAGGGCAATGTTTTATGGGGCCGCTATCGGGTGAGGGAATGGAGACAAACGGAGATGTACATTAATTATTTTTGTCAAAACAATAAATATTCACAATATAATCAAGTGCAAACATTTTACAATTCAAAAAACAGATTGTGAAGTAAACAAAGTAAATAAACATTTTCAGAAAAAGTAGGTAGTAAGTAAGTAAGTAGGATAACTATGCACCTTTCATAAAAATGAATGTTATTGTTACTCTAGTGAGGATCTGAAAAGACGAGGTCTTCATCAGACTTTTCACTCCGACATGCTGCTTTCATACTATAACTGATAGTTGTTGTTGTATGTTTAAGTTGTTGATTAGTTCCTGTCATAATTTCAAGTAGACTATATCCTCAAGTTGTTACAAGTAAGTGTTAACAGGTTTTGATTAATTTGATGAGTTTTAACATATATATTTTAAATACATTTCGGTTTCAAAAAGTATGTTTAATTTGTCTATGGCTTTCTTTTATTATTATTTATTTGTTCTATTGTTTCCACTTGGATTATTATTATTATTATTATTATTGTTATTAGTAGTAGTAGTAGTAGTAGTAGTAGTAGTAGTAGTAGTAGTAGTAGTAGTAGTAGTAGTAGTAGTAGTAGTAGTAGTAGTCGTAGTCGTAGAAGTAGTAGTAGTAGTAGTAGTAGTAGTAGTAGTAGTAGTAGTAGTAGTAGTAGTAGTAGTAGTAGTAGTAGTAGTAGTAGTAGTTGTTGAAGTAGTAGAAATACTATATTCATATTTTATTATCAAGTAGTATAATTACTGGGGTTATTATTGTAGATGTTATGTTCATCTTAATTATTGCAGTGTTTCTGTATTTGCAGGCATATTTCTATGCAAACTATATGTTACATAATTGTTGTATGTGCACAGTTTGCTTGTGCTTGACTTTTTTGCTGTGTTTTTGATATATATGCAAAGTAGGGTGACAATATCTCCTTGTTATGCTTGTGTTTTGTGTATATGTAATAACTGTAGTAATCATGTTGAGTTGAGATAAAACTGACCAAAACAATTCAGTGTGTAAATGGAAAGTTCACGTATTGGACCTAATTTAGGCAATTCAAAATGTTTTTCAATCTGTGATTGCCAACATTCAAAGTTTCCATGTGCTTATCTATATTTGTCTGTTAAATTACTTTATTTGTAAATTGTTTTGATAAAATATTTAAAGTTGTCTTTGCTGAAATTACCCATTTGTTCTTGCTGCGATACTGTAGATAACTTCAGATGGTAAACTCCTCTGAAACAAGATAGAGCAGTTGTTAACATCTTATTTCTGATTCAATACAAAGTTGAAACGAGTCTGAATAGGTTTACCTTTTTTAAAGCGTTATCTGAGAATCTGACCGCAGGGTCTCCAGGTCTGAGAAAAAAGAATTGGAGAGAAACTGTCTGTTGATTTGATTGTATGTACAATGTATAGAAAAATATGATGATAATCACTTTATTAATAAAAACAAATTGAAGGTAATTTACCTCACACTCGTTACCACCACCTCTTTAAAGTTTGCTATCTTCTTCTCAATATAATATTTTTCCATCTGAAATAATGAAACACAAAAATGAACAATGTTTCAAGAGCAGAAGTCATACTGATAATAGAGGAACACCATTGGCTTTATGGAATTATCTGATATGTTCATTTAATACTATTCTACAAGAGCTGTGTTTGTACTACTGTCTTTTAATCATCACCATTTCAATTTTATATAATCTTTACTGAGACAAAAACATAAAACCAAAGTCTTTGACATATTTTATCATCATTTAAATCTGAATTTTTGGACGAGAAAGGTTAGGACGCATAACTTTGATTGCTATTGTTCAGCATGTTGCCATGGTAAATGCTGGTGTAATGTTGTAGTTTGCCGACTGCATGTTGTGTTAATTTGTTATGAGGTTGAGTTTAACAAAATGTGTATCTAGAGCACAATAATATATTTTCAAATATGATCGCTTGTTCAGTTCATTGCTTTCGATAAAAGCAAATGTACTGTCTTATAGTCCCAAATGTTGCAACATTCTGTAAAATCCTTAAAAGATACAACATACTAGAACTTTCTAAAGATTGCATAGGGTAACAGTATCTAATACTGACTGAATGTGTTCAGTAAGTACACGGCTGTACCATACAGCTTAACTCATCACATGTTTCATTTACCTGGTCGGTAAAGTTTCCAACAAATTCTTTGTACTCGGGTGACTTTTTATCTGTATATTCTGGTTTGTATTCCTCATTGATCACCACTTTTACAACGACTGACCTGTTGAGCGTATCTGCAAAGAATTCAAACATATTGTATCTCAAGTGCATGTTAAAAATTATGCTTAGAAAGTTTAAATTGCAGCAAAAAATTATAGGGCATGAAGGAGGTTGATATTACCTGGCTCAACAGTGTCTGGTATGGTTGACTGTGTAGTTAGTAAAGTAGTTGGCGTAAGTGTTGATGTTTCCATGGCTGATGTGGTTTGGGATGGATCAGAGGTTAGTGGATCCGTAGCAGAGGTTTGCTCAGGTTGTGTTGTAACTGTATCAGTTGCAGCCGTTGATTCTGATACAAAGGTGGTACCAACAGGATCAGACGTTACTGTATCTGTAGGACCTGTGAGGTCAGGTGACATGGTTGTCTGGCCAGAATCAGAGGTTACCATGTCAGTGGGATTGGTTTGATCAGGTGCTGACGTGGTCTCTGCCGTCTCAGGTGTTATTGAATCAGTTGGACCAGTTGATTCAGATACCAGGGTGGTACCAGCATACTCAGATGTTACTGTATCCGTAGGACCTGAGATGTCAGCTGACATCGTTGTGATGCCAGAATCTGAGGTTACTGTGTCAGTAGGGATGGTTTGCTCTTGTGCTGATGTGGTCTCTGCAGTCTCAGGTGTTATAACAGGGTCAGAGGTAACTGTGTCTGTAGGACCTGTGAGGTCAGGTGATACTGTTGACTGGCCAGAATCAGAGGTTATCATGTCAGTGGGATTGGTTTGCTCAGGTGCTGACGTGGTCTCTGCTGGGTCAGGTGTTATAACAGGCTCAGAGGTAACTGTGTCTGTAGGACCTGTGAGGTCAGGTGATACTGTTGACTGGCCAGAATCAGAGGTTATCATGTCAGTGGGATTGGTTTGATCAGGTGCTGACGTGGTCTCTGCCAACTCAGGTGTTATTGAATCAGTTGGACCAGTTGATTCAGATACCAAGGTGGTACCAGCATACTCAGATGTTACTGTATCCGTAGGACCTGAGATGTCAGCTGACATCGTTGTGATGCCAGAATCTGAGGTTACTGTGTCAGTAGGGATGGTTTGCTCTTGTGCTGATGTGGTCTCTGCAGTGTCAGGTGTTATAACAGGGTCAGAAGTAACTGTGTCTGTAGGACCTGTGAGGTCAGGTGATACTGTTGACTGGCCAGAATCAGAGGTTATCATGTCAGTGGGATTGGTTTGCTCAGGTGCTGACGTGGTCTCTGCTGGGTCAGGTGTTATAACAGGCTCAGAGGTAACTGTGTCTGTAGGACCTGTGAGGTCAGGTGATACTGTTGACTGGCCAGAATCAGAGGTTATCATGTCAGTGGGATTGGTTTGATCAGGTGCTGACGTGGTCTCTGCCGTCTCAGGTGTTATTGAATCAGTTGGACCAGTTGATTCAGATACCAGGGTGGTACCAGCATACTCAGATGTTACTGTATCCGTAGGACCTGAGATGTCAGCTGACATCGTTGTGATGCCAGAATCTGAGGTTACTGTGTCAGTAGGGATGGTTTGCTCTTGTGCTGATGTGGTCTCTGCAGTCTCAGGTGTTATAACAGGGTCAGAGGTAACTGTGTCTGTAGGACCTGTGAGGTCAGGTGATACTGTTGACTGGCCAGAATCAGAGGTTATCATGTCAGTGGGATTGGTTTGCTCAGGTGCTGACGTGGTCTCTGCTGGGTCAGGTGTTATAACAGGCTCAGAGGTAACTGTGTCTGTAGGACCTGTGAGGTCAGGTGATACTGTTGACTGGCCAGAATCAGAGGTTATCATGTCAGTGGGATTGGTTTGATCAGGTGCTGACGTGGTCTCTGCCAACTCAGGTGTTATTGAATCAGTTGGACCAGTTGATTCAGATACCAAGGTGGTACCAGCATACTCAGATGTTACTGTATCCGTAGGACCTGAGATGTCAGCTGACATCGTTGTGATGCCAGAATCTGAGGTTACTGTGTCAGTAGGGATGGTTTGCTCTTGTGCTGATGTGGTCTCTGCAGTGTCAGGTGTTATAACAGGGTCAGAAGTAACTGTGTCTGTAGGACCTGTGAGGTCAGGTGATACTGTTGACTGGCCAGAATCAGAGGTTATCATGTCAGTGGGATTGGTTTGCTCAGGTGCTGACGTGGTCTCTGCTGGGTCAGGTGTTATAACAGGCTCAGAGGTAACTGTGTCTGTAGGACCTGTGAGGTCAGGTGATACTGTTGACTGGCCAGAATCAGAGGTTATCATGTCAGTGGGATTGGTTTGATCAGGTGCTGACGTGGTCTCTGCCGTCTCAGGTGTTATTGAATCAGTTGGACCAGTTGATTCAGATACCAGGGTGGTACCAGCATACTCAGATGTTACTGTATCCGTAGGACCTGAGATGTCAGCTGACATCGTTGTGATGCCAGAATCTGAGGTTACTGTGTCAGTAGGGATGGTTTGCTCTTGTGCTGATGTGGTCTCTGCAGTCTCAGGTGTTATAACAGGGTCAGAGGTAACTGTGTCTGTAGGACCTGTGAGGTCAGGTGATACTGTTGACTGGCCAGAATCAGAGGTTATCATGTCAGTGGTATTGGTTTGCTCAGGTGCTGACGTGGTCTCTGCTGGGTCAGGTGTTATAACAGGCTCAGAGGTAACTGTGTCTGTAGGACCTGTGAGGTCAGGTGATACTGTTGACTGGCCAGAATCAGAGGTTATCATGTCAGTGGGATTGGTTTGATCAGGTGCTGACGTGGTCTCTGCCAACTCAGGTGTTATTGAATCAGTTGGACCAGTTGATTCAGATACCAAGGTGGTACCAGCATACTCAGATGTTACTGTATCCGTAGGACCTGAGATGTCAGCTGACATCGTTGTGATGCCAGAATCTGAGGTTACTGTGTCAGTAGGGATGGTTTGCTCTTGTGCTGATGTGGTCTCTGCAGTGTCAGGTGTTATAACAGGGTCAGAGGTAACTGTGTCTGTAGGACCTGTGAGGTCAGGTGATACTGTTGACTGGCCAGAATCAGAGGTTATCATGTCAGTGGTATTGGTTTGCTCAGGTGCTGACGTGGTCTCTGCTGGGTCAGGTGTTATAACAGGCTCAGAGGTAACTGTGTCTGTAGGACCTGTGAGGTCAGGTGATACTGTTGACTGGCCAGAATCAGAGGTTATCATGTCAGTGGGATTGGTTTGATCAGGTGCTGACGTGGTCTCTGCCGTCTCAGGTGTTATTGAATCAGTTGGACCAGTTGATTCAGATACCAGGGTGGTACCAGCATACTCAGATGTTACTGTATCCGTAGGACCTGAGATGTCAGCTGACATCGTTGTGATGCCAGAATCTGAGGTTACTGTGTCAGTAGGGATGGTTTGCTCTTGTGCTGATGTGGTCTCTGCAGTCTCAGGTGTTATAACAGGGTCAGAGGTAACTGTGTCTGTAGGACCTGTGAGGTCAGGTGATACTGTTGACTGGCCAGAATCAGAGGTTATCATGTCAGTGGGATTGGTTTGCTCAGGTGCTGACGTGGTCTCTGCTGGGTCAGGTGTTATAACAGGGTCAGAGGTAACTGTGTCTGTAGGACCTGTGAGGTCAGGTGATACTGTTGACTGGCCAGAATCAGAGGTTATCATGTCAGTGGGATTGGTTTGATCAGGTGCTGACGTGGTCTCTGCCAACTCAGGTGTTATTGAATCAGTTGGACCAGTTGATTCAGATACCAAGGTGGTACCAGCATACTCAGATGTTACTGTATCCGTAGGACCTGAGATGTCAGCTGACATCGTTGTGATGCCAGAATCTGAGGTTACTGTGTCAGTAGGGATGGTTTGCTCTTGTGCTGATGTGGTCTCTGCAGTGTCAGGTGTTATAAGAGGGTCAGAGGTAACTGTGTCTGTAGGACCTGTGAGGTCAGGTGATACTGTTGACTGGCCAGAATCAGAGGTTATCATGTCAGTGGGATTGGTTTGCTCAGGTGCTGACGTGGTCTCTGCTGGGTCAGGTGTTATAACAGGCTCAGAGGTAACTGTGTCTGTAGGACCTGTGAGGTCAGGTGATACTGTTGACTGGCCAGAATCAGAGGTTATCATGTCAGTGGGATTGGTTTGATCAGGTGCTGACGTGGTCTCTGCCGTCTCAGGTGTTATTGAATCAGTTGGACCAGTTGATTCAGATACCAGGGTGGTACCAGCATACTCAGATGTTACTGTATCCGTAGGACCTGAGATGTCAGCTGACATCGTTGTGATGCCAGAATCTGAGGTTACTGTGTCAGTAGGGATGGTTTGCTCTTGTGCTGATGTGGTCTCTGCAGTCTCAGGTGTTATAACAGGGTCAGAGGTAACTGTGTCTGTAGGACCTGTGAGGTCAGGTGATACTGTTGACTGGCCAGAATCAGAGGTTATCATGTCAGTGGGATTGGTTTGCTCAGGTGCTGACGTGGTCTCTGCTGGGTCAGGTGTTATAACAGGGTCAGAGGTAACTGTGTCTGTAGGACCTGTGAGGTCAGGTGATACTGTTGACTGGCCAGAATCAGAGGTTATCATGTCAGTGGGATTGGTTTGATCAGGTGCTGACGTGGTCTCTGCCAACTCAGGTGTTATTGAATCAGTTGGACCAGTTGATTCAGATACCAAGGTGGTACCAGCATACTCAGATGTTACTGTATCCGTAGGACCTGAGATGTCAGCTGACATCGTTGTGATGCCAGAATCTGAGGTTACTGTGTCAGTAGGGATGGTTTGCTCTTGTGCTGATGTGGTCTCTGCAGTCTCAGGTGTTATAACAGGGTCAGAGGTAACTGTGTCTGTAGGACCTGTGAGGTCAGGTGATACTGTTGACTGGCCAGAATCAGAGGTTATCATGTCAGTGGGATTGGTTTGCTCAGGTGCTGACGTGGTCTCTGCTGGGTCAGGTGTTATAACAGGCTCAGAGGTAACTGTGTCTGTAGGACCTGTGAGGTCAGGTGATACTGTTGACTGGCCAGAATCAGAGGTTATCATGTCAGTGGGATTGGTTTGATCAGGTGCTGACGTGGTCTCTGCCAACTCAGGTGTTATTGAATCAGTTGGACCAGTTGATTCAGATACCAAGGTGGTACCAGCATACTCAGATGTTACTGTATCCGTAGGACCTGAGATGTCAGCTGACATCGTTGTGATGCCAGAATCTGAGGTTACTGTGTCAGTAGGGATGGTTTGCTCTTGTGCTGATGTGGTCTCTGCAGTGTCAGGTGTTATAACAGGGTCAGAGGTAACTGTGTCTGTAGGACCTGTGAGGTCAGGTGATACTGTTGACTGGCCAGAATCAGAGGTTATCATGTCAGTGGTATTGGTTTGCTCAGGTGCTGACGTGGTCTCTGCTGGGTCAGGTGTTATAACAGGCTCAGAGGTAACTGTGTCTGTAGGACCTGTGAGGTCAGGTGATACTGTTGACTGGCCAGAATCAGAGGTTATCATGTCAGTGGGATTGGTTTGATCAGGTGCTGACGTGGTCTCTGCCGTCTCAGGTGTTATTGAATCAGTTGGACCAGTTGATTCAGATACCAGGGTGGTACCAGCATACTCAGATGTTACTGTATCCGTAGGACCTGAGATGTCAGCTGACATCGTTGTGATGCCAGAATCTGAGGTTACTGTGTCAGTAGGGATGGTTTGCTCTTGTGCTGATGTGGTCTCTGCAGTCTCAGGTGTTATAACAGGGTCAGAGGTAACTGTGTCTGTAGGACCTGTGAGGTCAGGTGATACTGTTGACTGGCCAGAATCAGAGGTTATCATGTCAGTGGGATTGGTTTGCTCAGGTGCTGACGTGGTCTCTGCCATCGCAGGTGTTATTGAATCAGTTGGACCAGTTGAGTCAGATACCAAGGTGGTACCAGCAGGCTCAGATGTTACTGTATCCGTAGGACCTGTGATGTCAGGTGACATTGTTGTCTGGCCAGAATCAGAGGTTACTGTCTCACTGGGATTGGTTTGATCATTTGCTGACGTGGTCTCTGCTGGGTCAGATGTTACCGATTCAGTTTGACTGCTTTGTTCAGATACAAAAGTGCTACCAACAGGCTCAGAGGTGGCTTTGTCAGTTGGATTGGTTTGATCTTGTGCTGATGTGGTCTCTGCAGTTTCAGGTGTTATAAAAGGGTCTGAGGTAACTGTCTGTGTAGGACCTGTGAGGTCAGGTGACATGGTTGTCTGGCCAGAATCTGAGGTTATTGTGTCAGTGGGATTAGTTTGCTCTTGTGCTGATGTAGTCTCTGCAGTTTCAGGCGTTATAAAATCAGTCGGATCGGTTGATTCTGATACAAAGGTGGTACCAAAAGGATCAGAGGTAACTGTATCTGTAGGACCTGTAATGTCAGGTGACATGGTTGTTTGATCAGAATCAGAAGTAACTATGTCAGTGGGATTGGTTTGCTCAGGTGCTGATGTGGTCTCTGCTTGGTCAGATGTTATTGAATCGGTTTGACTGGTCGGATCAGATACCAAGGTGGTACCAACAGGCTCAGAAGTGACTGTGTCAGTAGGATTGGTTTCCTCTTGTGCTGATGTGGTCTCTGCAGTCTCAGGTGTTATAACAGGCTCAGAGGTAACTGTGTCTGTAGGACCTGTGAGGTCAGGTGACATGGTTGACAGGCCAGAATCAGAGGTTACCATGTCAGTGGGATTGGTTTGCTCAGGTGCTGACGTGGTCTCTGCTGGGTCAGGTGTTATAACAGGCTCAGAGGTAACTGTGTCTGTAGGACCTGTGAGGTCAGGTGACATGGTTGACAGGCCAGAATCAGAGGTTAACATGTCAGTGGGATTGGTTTGATCAGGTGCTGACGTGGTCTCTGCCGTCTCAGGTGTTATTGAATCAGTTGGACTAGCTGATTCAGTTACCAGGGTGGTACCAGCAGGCTCAGATGTTACTGTATCTGTAGGACCTGAGATGTCAGCTGACATCGTTGTGATGCCAGAATCTGAGGTTACTGTGTCAGTAGGGATGGTTTGCTCTTGTGCTGATGTGGTCTCTGCAGTCTCAGGTGTTATAACAGGGTCAGAGGTAACTGTGTCTGTAGGACCTGTGAGGTCAGGTGATACTGTTGACTGGCCAGAATCAGAGGTTACCATGTCAGTGGGATTGGTTTGCTCAGGTGCTGACGTGGTCTCTGCCATCGCAGGTGTTGTTGAATCAGTTGGACCAGTTGAGTCAGATACCAAGGTGGTACCAGCAGGCTCAGATGTTACTGTGTCCGTAGGACCTGTGACGTCAGGTGACATTGTTGTCTGGCCAGAATCAGAGGTTACTGTCTCACTGGGATTGGTTTGATCATTTGCTGCCGTGGTCTCTGCTGGGTCAGATGTTACCGATTCAGTTTGACTGCTTTGTTCAGATACAAAAGTGGTACCAACAGGCTCAGAAGTGACTTTGTCAGTTGGATTGGTTTGATCTTGTGCTGATGTGGTCTCTGTAGTCTCAGGTGTTATAACAGGGTCAGAGGTAACTGTCTGTGTAGGACCTGTGAGGTCAGGTGACATGGTTGACAGGCCAGAATCAGAGGTTACCATGTCAGTGGGATTGGTTTGATCAGGTGCTGACGTGGTTTCTGCCGTCTCAGGTGTTATTGAATCAGTTGGACCAGTTGATTCAGATACCAAGGTGGTACCAGCATACTCAGATGTTACTGTATCTGTAGGACCTGTGAGGTCAGGTGACATGGTTGACAGGCCAGAATCAGAGGTTACCATGTCAGTGGGATTGGTTTGATCAGGTGCTGACGTGGTTTCTGCCGTCTCAGGTGTTATTGATTCAGTTGAATCAGTTGATTCTGATACCAAGGTGGTACCAGCAGGCTCAGAGGTTACTGTGTCTGTAGGACCTGTGAGTTCAGGTGATATGGTTGTCTTGTCAGAATCTGAAGTTACTATGTCAGTGGGATTGGTTTGCTCATATGCTGATGTGGTATCTGCTGGGTCAGATGTTGTTGAATCTCTTTGACTGGTCTGATCAGATACCAAGGTAGTACCAACAGGCTCAGAAGTGACTATGTCAGTAGGATTGGTTTGCTCAGATGTTACTGATTCAGTTGGATCGGTTGATTCTGATGCCAAGGTTGTACGAGCAAGCTCAGAGGTGACTGAGTCTGTAGGACCTGTGAGGTCAGGTGACATGGTTGACTGGCCAGAATCTGATGTTACTGTGTCAGTGGGATTGGTTTGATCAGGTGGTGATGTAGTCTCTGCTGGGTCAGATGTTACTGAATCTGTTTGACTGGTTTGATCAGATACCAAGGTGATACCAACAGGCTCAGAAGTGACTTTGTCAGTAGGATTGGTTTGCTCAGGTACTGTCGTGGTCTCCGCTGGGTCAGATGTTACTGATTCAGTCTGACCGCTTGATTCCGATACCAAGGTGGTACCAGCAGGCTCAGAGGTGACTGTGTCTGTAGAACCTGTAAGGTCAGGTGACATGGTTGACTGGCCAGAATCAGAGGTTACCATGTCAGTGGGATTGGTTTGCTCAGGTGCTGACGTGGTCTCTGCCGGGTAAGATGTTACTGATTCAGTTTGACTGGTTTGTTCAGGTTGTGATGTGGTCACGGCAGGATCAGATGTTTCTGGTTCAGTCAGAGAAGTTGGTTCAGATGCAATTGTTGTCTCTTCATGTTCTGAGGTTACTGTGTCAGTGGGATTGGTTTGGTCAGGGGATGACGTGGACTCTGCTTGGTCCGATGTTACTGAATCTGTTTGACTGGTTTGTTCAGATACTAAGGTGGCACCAACAGGCTCAGAGGTGACTGTGTCAGCTGAACTTGTTTGGTCCACTGCCATTATATTCCCCCCAGTTTCAGTTGTTACTATGTCATTGGGAGAAGGTAGTTCAAGCTGTAATTTGGTCTTCACAGGCTCAGATGTTACTGATTTTGTTTGAGTAGTTGGTTCCGATATCCTTTTCACTGCAGACTTACCTATCAACAAGACACAAACATAATTTATAGCTCAGAAATCATATATGAAACATAATTAGTTGTTGCATTTATTAACATCTCGTTCCTACACGCAATGCTGTCCATTTATCTACATTTGTCATTGTTCATGAAGTATTACACATAGTGTTTCATGTATGTTCAAGCATGAAGTCATGATGGTTAGAAAATATTATTTATTCATAATTTTCTGCCAGCAATTCTACACCATCCTTTTCTTTTCCAATTAAGAAATAAGGCATGGTGGGAGAAACGAAAACTAAGAATTAGAAGGCTGGTGGTGACAGAACAATCCCAAAACACTGAGAGCTTGAAAACTCCTTCCTAAGTATGTCATTTGAAATTGATTATACCCGGATCACTTCCCAGTGATTCCGCTTTTGTATCTACATATACCGCTTCATTAATTCAAAAGTATGACACTGGTTATCATAATTTAGACAGATCTAGACTACTTAGCATTAAAACCTCTTAATATATATTTTTTCCCACAATATTACGTTTTCAACTTCTTTTTCAAAAATATGTTCTGATTTTACCCAAGACATATCAGGGATACTTATGAGTGACAGTGTAGGATCATATATAACTAAAATTAGCTTCAATGGCTACAACAATAAAATATGCTTACACAATAGCTTACACAATAACTTCTTAAAGGGTTCCTAATATGCTTTTTTGTGTTTTCCTTTCCAGTTTCTCTCCTACTTATTGATAGACTAAGGGCCATGACATCTCTAAGAGGTTGACCAATCACAACAGAGTTGGCCACCAAACCAAAAAGAGCAGACTGGGCTCTGGCTTCAGACAGAGGGTGAAAAGAGGTGCTGCAGCACAGGCAGTATGAGAAAAATAAAGAGCCTTTTGAACAGTTATAGACACAAAACGGATATATAAACCTAAAATGAGCTAAATATGTCCTGTTTAACTTACTTAAACAGTGTTAGTAGAGGGAGCTCTGTGGATTTTGTGTGGTAAATAATTAGCTAGAGGTCCATCCACAACACACCCAATAAAACACTGTAATAAGTTCCTTAGTGATTAACACTAATTCAGACTACATTACTGTGAGTTGCCAAATTAGGTAGTATTATGGCGCATTTCCACTACAGCGCAGAGCTCGCTTTAAGTGTGCCGTGCCCGGCCCGTTTTTGGTTGCGTTTCCACTTGGCGTAGTTCCGGCTAGCGGGTAGCTATTGTGTACTATTTCACAGTTTTTCTGGCCCCATGAAATCGAGGTTCTTTCCGGACCAACAACCAGGCTCAGTCGGGCTGAGTATGCTAAACTAGAGAGAGAATCGCTGGCAAGGGGTTCAGGTTCAGGTTATTTATTTGTACCCGTAGGTAGATTCTGTTTGCAGAGAAAAAGACAAGGCTTCCATCCTGACACTAAAAACAAACACAAACAACAGACACATCTCTAATAAAAGGACAAGGGGGCTACAACTACAACAAAATGAACATATTTGACCGTGATTTAATTGTAATACACGTTTCAAAATGATGCCGAAGTAACAACATACTGATACCGGTTAGTGAATGAATTAATGCTTTGACAAGTCTGCAGACAGACGGCTGGCGAAAAACCTTTTAAAATGTGTGTTGTCTGAATGGAGATCGGCTAAGCTAACGTTGTAATGCTCCGACCGTCCACACTCACAACAACGGCCTATACAGACATAAATAAACCAGCGACTGTATTCACCATGACACAGACAGTCTGTGGTTTGTACTTGTTTAACTTTTGTCTAGTTTCTGAATAGATATGAGGAGCTGTGAGCTCTGAGTGCTAACAGCTAACGGCTGATGTTGGTTTTGTGTTTCGCATTGAAGATGACGTCACGGCTCCGCCTACACTGCGTTACTATAGTTACTGCCCCAGCTACTAAACTGTAATGGAAACGCAGCATAAAGTGAGCCAGTCCTAACAAGGCCTAAGAAGGCCTAACGAGGCCTAGCCATACTGAGCGAGGCCGAGCGAGGCCCTGTAGTGGAAATGCGCCTTTAGAAGCTAAAATAACGACACACATGTTAACAAGAAAAGATTAAATAATGATTAATAATTACCATCATATAAATTAAAGAGTTATGTGAATATGCAGTAAAAAGCTACTGGTTTCATTCAAACTGTAAGGGTTTTAGGAATATTAGAACATTAACAAAAAAAGTCGATGGAACTGAAGTTCAATCTGTTCAGATGCAGGATGGTATGAAACAACTGGGTGGAGTACTAACATACTAAATTAAGCATGTTTAAAGTTAGTTTTAAAGACCACATGACATTGGCATGCAATATTCATATACTGTACAAAGCCACTACAAATATGGGGTTTACTAAACCACACCTAACTGTATAACCTAATACAGTCAACAGCAGCAAAGTAAATAGCAAACTACAACCTCACCATAAAGATAAATGAAGTCCGGAAAAAACTCAACATACTAACTTTCATGAAAGGCAGGTCTATTACAGAGCTTTTGTATTAAACTGCTTAAGTGTTGGAGCTGCTTAGAACAATTAACAGGTTACTTTGAGGCTTGAAGAAGTAGTCTAACATTATACTTTGCTATATTTTTCTTCACTATCCACTTGTGTCAACCATAAAAAACATGACTAATGTTTTATGGTTCTGTTTAAGCAACTCAAAGCACATGATCAAGATTAAAGAAATAAAGCTGTACCAAATTACATTTGTTCTATACAGGACATTTATTTTCATATTTTTATTAATAGTAACTTAATAATAATAATGTTGCCACACAGGATACAAAGACCTTCTAGATTTCACCACAGGGTGATGCAGACATGGTGATTGGATGATGTATTACATTACATTTGGCACACACCATGTTTGCAAAACAACTAAGATATAAATAAGAACTGATAAACCTGGGATTAAATGGCATTTTAGGCCATTTACAGCCATGTATGATAACATCTAGGATGACTTTGACCACAAATGTGTGCCAGCTGAGATGTTTGACGTGACAGCGGACAACTTAACTGCTCTGTCGGGAATTAAAACACTGTAATTGGGTTTCTTATCAGCTATCAAATAAAATATGAATACATGGCAATCCTGGTGAAAGGACATATTCCAATGGCTCCCATATTTTAAGTTACTTCATTTGATACAAACTAAATAGGTATTCTACCCATTGACCACATCAAACACTGAAACAACCATTAATGGGGAAATCCATTTCATATACTTCTAAATGTTACACGTGAGTGGAAATGACAAACAGGTGATGAAGTCAATAGTTGACTGAAAAAGGCCTAATTTCTTCAAAGTGTGGTATGTTATAAGTAGAAAACGTCATGAATCTTACCATCAGCAGGACAAAGGCAGATGAGTAGAGCTGATATAATCAGGAAATGTAAATAAAACGCCATGCCCAGATTTCATCCAAGGCATCGGTGTACAACAGTGATGGATGAAACAAAATGTCCAAAATCCAAAAGTTGAACAATGGAAGTGGCCACATATGTGTGTATCAAAGTGTACCAGGTACACTCTGTGGAAGTGGCTAACCTCAGTTGGTCAGCGTTTTTCAAACACATACACCCAGTGTCAAGGTGAATAAAAAACGTCACAGATAGAAGGACTGACTGAGATAAGGGGAGCGGAATTTATATTGACGATCATATAAAACCAATCGAACACGAACTTTATTGCACATGCAAAAGTTCCTAGTTTCTCTCCCCTCACATTCTTTTACACTACAGGTTGGTTAATCAGTTACTGCAGAAGATGGGGGAAAATAATTATACAAATGCAAATCATTCCCATTTATGTCACTTCTCCAATAACTTTTTAAATCTCCAGTATCTGCAGTTTCAAGTGATTCTTCTCTGGTTTGTACACTGCAAGGGACCCCTCACACATTAAACATGTAACTTCACCATGACTGCATGCATAGCTGATTTCAATCATAATTTTTTTTGAGCTTTCTGCTCAATTTGAGCATAGCAACTATAGTTCAGTTTAGAGAAAAGGATTACTTTTAAACAACAAAATGTAATGTAAATTATAAGAAAAACAAATACAGTATTGACCAGTGGCGAGCCGTCAGGGCCCTCTAGGCCCTCTCTGAGGGCCTAAGATATTCTACAAAATAATATTTGAAAACATAAAAAAAAATTGATTTAATTGTATTTAAAATATATCCACATGTCTACCGTACTTTTATAATTTTCGAATCATAAATCTAATCGATAGATAGATTAAATCTAATCGATAGATTTATGATCGATACATTTATGATTAGCATAAGTTCGTTCATGATGGCTCACGTCAGTGATAGTGATGACATCGTTGCAAAATTATTAACCGAGTCATTTTCAAGATTGAGTTACAAAGATACATTGGAGTGGCAAAGGATCAGCTGCATCAAGTGCTTCATCCAAAAGGACAGGAGGATGGACTTTGTGTTTTAGTGATATGATCATCAAAGGTAGGCCTAAGTCATTTTCTATGTGGGCCGCCGTCCCGACTTCATTCATTTCTAATTGTTACTTGGCTGTGGGTGCCCTGTCATGATAGGTCTTTATATAAATGGTGTTGTTTTGTGTGGTAGAGGGTCGCTGTCATTGATGCGTTTTGCACCCCGGGCCGTTGTTTTGATATTCCGCTGAAGTATACGTTGTGACGTAATAACTCTTCTTTTTTTTCGAGGGAAGGGGGTGGGGTTAGAGGGCCTAGGTATAAAAGTCACAGCTCGCTTTACATGCAGGTATGTCATTTAATCATATAATCAACTGTCTTTTTGATACATTCAGTGTATCCTGGTTAAAATATGTAATGACACTATTACAGTACATTTGTGACATTATTATTAGTTTGAACAGTTTGACAGTCGTAAAATAAACACGACTCAGATACTGGTTCATCATTGCAAAAATGTGTTTTCTGCAGAAAAATTGATATATGGATGTATATTGTGTCACATTTAAATTGCACTTCTTTGTTCCCTTCCATCGTCGCTTCCAGTCATCCCGGTTCTCCATACATCTGGCCAGTTCATTGGTACTTTGTGCTCCTGCGTCATTCTTGAGTACGTCCACGTATGTTAGTGTACGCAGTCTTCAAAGTAACCAAGCAACCTAAATTCATTTGTAATTTGTCTGTCCAATGACCTTGCTCCCTTTCATGTCATGTGATACCTTGCGTGACGAGCGAACCGTTTAATCAACCTGTACTGTACTGTAGCTAGCAGCAGCAAGTTCGGTAGCATTATAACAAATGTAATAGCTTGCATTTATAATGTACAGCAAACCAACACACAAGAGCGGCGCTCAAAAGAGAAAGGACAAGAGAGGTTGGAGATTGGGTGGGGGCCCAAAACAATATTTGCATCGGGGCCAATCACAACCTTGTTACGCCACTGCCAGGAGGGGTTCGATCCTCAATGCTTCTGTGCATAATTGTATACAGGATGTGAACATTTCTCCCTGGATAAAGCTTTTTTATACTTTCACAGCATTGAATAGCTCTGTTTGAAAAACAAAAAAGGGTTTTTGAACATGTTTTAAAATATGTCCCCTCTCTTTCGGACAAACCAATTTGGCAGCAATAAATATTGGATTTCCACTACAAGTTATTTTTCCAAAATGAATTATATCTTGTGTTTAAAATGCAATGGCAACATCACTGGTATATATTACTAAATAGCTGGCCAATATAAGAGCATGTGATGACCATCATGGCTCATGACTGCATGGATATTTAACTCCTGAGATCTTGTGGCTCTTTCAATTTCCTGAAAAATAAAACTTAAAAATGTATTTTGGTGACACAATGGAAAAAGAGATACATTCAAATTTGATCATCCAGAGACAATGACTACGGACAATCTGGAACTAAATTAGCACCTTAGGATAGGATTAGTTTTATTCATGATTAAATGCTTTTTGAGGGATCTGCAGTTAAGGTATATTTGATTTGATGGTGTAATAGCAGCCACAGGAGGAAGTGTTCTTAGTTTTAACAATAGCTGATGTGGCGTGCCTTATCAAAGCCAAGATAATAACTGCAGTATAACCCTGTGCTGAGTCGATACTTGATACAGAATATTGAATACCAAGGATATTCCCGCTTTCTTAGTGCTTGAGAGGTCAAAGCAGAGGTGTGTTAAAGTCTAACAGAAGGGCAGGGATAGTAAAGTAAGATAACGTTGTAAAATAAAGTCACTTAGGTCTTATCAGACACTAAAGCATGACACAACCTCCTTCTGAGTTATATCCAGTGCTTGAATTGGAATAAAAAAGGTGCCAGTACTCTAAATCAACAACTGTTTCAAGTCAATTTATTTATACAGCCCAAAAACAAGTATTTGGCTCAAAGTCACATAGTATCCTATAATGCTGGTGGGTTTGTCTCTTTACTGTATATTTTAGAAAGGATCACTGGACTTAAACAAAATGACTCAGGGTGCATCTGAGATTAGAGGGGGTGCAGTGGTAAAGTGCTACATTTATAAGTGGGGAGTGGACCTGACACCCTCTAGAGGGGTCTGGGGGCATGATCCCCCGGAAAGATTTTTTTTAAATATTGAAGTTAAATTCATCCATCTGGTGCACTTTGAGAGCAAAATGAAGAGATATATGGATACATCTCAACATCCATATGAAACAGAACTGTAAACAGATTTACTTTTTCTTTATGGATATAAAAGAAAGTAAAGCCTGACTCCTACAGGCGGCTGGTTAAATGACTCCTCGTCCCTGAGTACACTCATCTTTCAGCAGGAAAGGAGAGAGGGAATCAATGAGAGACGGGAGAGAAGGCTCTGTGGGAGCTAGTGCTACAGAACTTGGAGAAGGAGGCTCGACCAGAGAAGACTCCCCGTCAGACAACATTTCTAACACAGGCACAGCATTTCGGTATTAGAAGTCGGCTCCTTGTCCGGCGACAACCGGCGGCATCTCATGACGCATGACGCATCTAGGTGCATCTACGCTGGGCATATTTCTTGTCATGCGTCATGACGTGCCGCCGGCCGAGTATGCGGCTAAGTACCGGCACCTTGCCGGTACTCAGTAAGAAGTGCCGGTACCATATGGGTAAAAATCAGAAGTGCCGGTACCGCATACCGGTGAGTACCGGCCCAATTCAAGCACTGGTTATATCTTACTGTTTCATCCCTCCAATTATAAATAGAGCAAAAAATACAAAAACAGCTGTGCATTTCCTTTGACCTCAACACCTATAAAGCTACTTACACACTGATAACATTGAAACATAGTATACATGTACTATACATCAGTATAGTAGACTTCCTCTGCATAATCTTACTCAAAGAGGCACTTAACCAAGCAGGAAGAGATGATAATGACCATAAAGAAACATGAGACACTAAGAGATTCACAATGATTATAACCTTAGGCGCTTTCACACCGGAGTACTTTTCCCCGTACTTTTCCCGTTTAGTTCTGATAGTTCCTGGGATTTTGCGTTCACACCAAAAAGATAACTTAGTTCATGAGAACTTTTTGAAGTTTTTTGAAGCCGCCATTGTATTTGCTGGCATTAGCATTATTAGCATTAGCATTAGCCCCGCGCACCAACGGAGAGAGAATAATGTATGGCAACAAAAAAAAACATGAGAGCTGTGGAGTGATGAGGAGGTGTCGGCGTTCTGGCGATTTACTCCCCCAACTCCGGGGACTTCCGGCCGGGGACTTCGGGTGGTAGTATACGCCGTGAAGTTGTTTGCGGCCTGCCAGTAAACCCAAAGCAGAAGAAGAAGAAGTGACGTCAGCGGCTTCATTTGCGTAATCTTCCCTCAAGGACTTATTCCGGTGTGAACGCGATCGGCTCTTAGTTCCATGGGGGAACTAAGTGCTGGGAACTAAGTGCTGGGAACTAAGTATGGCAAAGCACTTGGTGTGAAAGCGGCTAATGGCCAAGACAATTAAATAGAAACACAACATGATCACAAAAACTACCAAAATTCACACATGACAAAAAGGGGCATAACAAAAACAGATAATAAATAACTAAAATGAGAAAAAACAATTACAAAATTGAAAAGGTACAACTATAAGGAGACACACTACAAAGGCACAACACAACTACAAAGAAATGCAAACAACTACAAAAAGGAGCAAGACAACCACAGACAAAAATAATTACCAAAATATTTACTAATTGACAAAAGAACTACAAAGACACACAAGATAACTACATGAGTCCCAAAACAACTACAAAGAGATGCACACAACAACAAAAAGGGGCAAAACGCCAACAGACAATAAATAACTTCAACAAGACACAACAAATATACAAAAAAACACTACAAAGATACACAAAATTACCACAAAGAGATTAAACAACTACAGAGAGATGCAAAACGACCACAGAGGGGCTCAACAACCACAAACAAAAAAGAACTACAAGATCAAATGATATACAATTGACCAAAACATCTAACAAGATACACATAACAACTACAGAGAGATACAAAATGCCTACAAAGAGGCTGACAACAACTACAAAGGGATGCAAAGCAACAACAAATAACTACATTAAGACAAAACAATTACAAAAAGAGAGTGACTACTAGAAAGCGTGCGTCTTGGTGGTGGAGCTTTTTTCTGGGCACCATGGCCCATGATAGTTATATAGGAATAAATAATGCTATGAAAAAAGTAATTAGATAAAACCATTTTAAAACTGTCCATTTGTTGAACATAATGAAATAATGGAACATTATCAGCGCAGAGATCAGCCTGGCAGGATGACAGCTCAGTTTTATTTCTGTGAAAATGTGCCGTATGTTTCGTTTCCCAGACAGGAAAGTGACACACTCTGCTGCAAGATTGCAACATCAGGATTAAGATGTTTTAGCAAACCCAGTTGTAAACTTTGCACAAGACCAATGTTGAACAGCAGTTAGAAAATAATTGACCCCTGACACTCCCTTCTAACACGTCACCGCAGGCTGTTAATATCAATAGTGTCAACACAGTATTTTCTTATTATTATTCATCCTGTTTCTATACTTGTAAGAGCATTTCAGGAGTTGCTCAATGTGGACCAAATTAAGATATGAGTACACAGTGGTGTAAAGTCACTGAGTACATTTACTCAAGTACTGTGCTTAAGTACTTTACTTGAGTATATCCATTTCTTGCTACTTTGTACTTTTACTCCACTACAGTTCAGACATGTACTACATGTATTTAATACCTTTAGTTACTTTGCAGATTTTGATGAATGCTGTGAAATCTAATCAAGTGTTAAATCAGACTGTAGTTCCACCTGGAGTAAATTCACAAGCTACCCTGCAGTATACAAAGTCCTTCAAACTAGCTGCACCTTTACCAGCTTTGAGAACGCTTTAATGATCAATCATTATAAAACATATCATATATATTATTCTGAAACTGGCCAATCTGCACAATCACTATTTTTAATTTTGGTACTTTAACTATATTTTGATGATAATACTTTTGTACTTTTACTTGAGTAACATTTTGATTGCAGGAATTTTACTTGTAACAGAGTATTCCTACACTCTGGTACTTTTACTTTTACTCAAGTACAAGATCTGAGTACTTTTTCCACCTCTACAGTACTGCATTGTACCATATAAGCAAATACTGTGTGTTATGAGTACAATGTAAATAGTAACTGTGAGAGATATTCACCTCTGAAATGTATTGGAGTAGAAGTATAAAGGTGGATTAAATGGAAATACTCAAGTCAATTACAAATATCTCAAAAAAGTACTTAAGCACAATACTTGAGTAAATGTACTTAGTTACTTTCCACCTCGTTACATTAAGACTTTCAATGTAAGACTTCAGAACATCAGGTTATAATACTCGGTAAAGTAACTTGAGTAAAATAAAACAGTTGTTAGTTTTGATTCCCAGCAGCCTACTGTTAGAGCCCAGCCCTTCAACTGGCCTGTCTTTTTCTAGAAAATCAATAAAAAACCAAATGGCTTTTGCTGCTCTCTGCACACTCCCTCCTAACGCTACACGTCATCGCTGGCTATTTATATCATCGGTGTCAACACAACACTGATGCCATGGCAATGCTGCTCCACCTCAAGTGCACCATCATGAAGAACGCCTGTTTCCCTGAACATAATCACAGAGGCTCAGAAAGCCACTGTTAATAATTCATCTTCAAATAATGATTAACAGATGGAAACGTTGGTCACAAAATCAAATGCACCTCCCCAACAGCAGTGAGCTTTCCATGCACCACATCACAAATCATTCGATATGAAGGAAACGTTTGCCATACAAATATTTCAGTTCATTGTGTAAGGAAATCGTTTTTTATGGAGTATATACAAGTAAATGAAAAGTATTATAACAGGCTAATATCTAGTTTAAAGTTAGATAATGATCTTGATAACATTGATCATTCTTTTGACACTTCGGCAGCGATAGGCTATTGACATTTTGGTTTTACTACACATGTACTGTATCGCCATAATATTTCAAATGACATCCAGTCATAAAGGCAACAATCCTTGCTAAACAGAACACAACAAATAATGGTCTTAGTAATTCATTAAATAGAATCACAGCACAGAAGAGGGGTGTTGGATTTCAGTGTTGTCCAGCAGAGTTCCCAGCTGTGGTGAATAAGGTTTTTTTATTTGGGCATGAAAAATACTAAAAAGATAAGAAAGAGTTCCCTTTCATCTTACCAAAAAACGAATAATGTTTTCGTTCAGTGTTGTGGGGCACCACAGGCAACACTGGTAAGATGAAGGAGATGGTGGTAGATGTAAGCGCCCACAGAACACACCCTAAACCTGTCACCGGCAAGTGTGTTGACGTGGAAACTTTGCAGGACCAAAGTACCTGGGATGAGACCAGAGGCCTGTACTACGAAGCTGGATTTTCGCTTAGCCGGCTGACTTCAGGGAAAACTCGGGCTTTCCGGTCCTACGACGCTGGTTCTCTTTTTAGCAGGCTAGATTTCCATGGTAACTTATGCTGAGCGGCAAACCTGCTCCGGAGCAGGTTAGGTGGCAGGCTAAGAGATCAACTCAGTGAAAGCACCGCCTGCTGACCAATCAGAGCTCCGTGTGCGGAGTTTAAAGCGATCAAGTCATATTACAGGATAGAGGAAATACAGAAAAACTGCCGTTGCAGGAAAGACGGCCGTGAAAATTAATAGAATATCCCCTCCCATCTTCAGAGCAATCTGACTATTATAACATTAGCGTTAAGAAAGCTTACTTAAATATCTGCCACGACATAAGTAACCGGATCAGAGTAACATTAAGTACAGTCCGCGGCACTGTGAGTGCAGACGTCGATGTGTTCATTATATCATATCACATCATAATGTATCATATATTTCCTTATTTGAGTCAGCTTCTTGAGCCGTATCTGGCCGTGCAACACTCACAGTGTCACATACTGTATGCAGAAGTATTATTTTAAGCAACACATTAAGTTGATGAAACACTCGAGTCAAATTCTCCTAATTAAAGTCAGATCGTGTCTTGGACGGGGCAGTGATATCATAAACCTGTTAATGTACGCATTCAAACGCTTTTTCTTTTACCAGCTGTATTCACCTTGCAGGTGCAGCTATGTGGCTTTTATCCTGGATAAAGTGTTTAAGTCATGGATGTTTAAAGTTTAACTTCTTCATATTTGACTAATATTAAAGTTCACTTTTCATTCAGGAAGTATGACGCTGCGCTGTCAGTACGCTTGTCCGTGTTTGAGATTGGTTGAATGCTCCAAATACCACCCCTTTCATGTGAACGCGCACCTAACTAGATGGGACACGGCTGGCTTGAGCGATCCACTTGATATCCAGCGTCGTAGGACAGTTTAGCCAGAGCGCGTATGTTTTGGATTGGGCCAACCGGCTAACTCAAACATATCCAGGTTAGGTTGAACCAGCTTCGTAGTACAGGCCTCAGGACAACAACCAGGACTGGGATTAAAGAAATGGGCATTTTAGAAGAAGGTTTACTCCTTTACTGGTACTGAGGGGTGGTGTTAGGTCATTACAGAGGGCCCGGTGCACGCTGTATAAAGCCCAAACACACACCATCCGGTTGTCTTGTCCCATCATTAAAGGTTTCCTATCATGCTATATTTAGGCATATATTATGGGTCTCAGATATATATACAAATATTTAAAAACATGTCTACAAAGTGCATTTTGCATGATAGGTCCCCTTTAAATAGAAACACGACATTGGCTGTTTCTCAATGTCGAGTAAACCTGCTGCAGAGCCACTATTTCAAGTATACTACGTCATCGAGTGGCGCCGAAGGACTGTTTAAATGCATGTTAAATGCCCAGCATTCGGCGCCACTCTGACGTAGTATACTTGAAATAGTGGCTCTGCAGCAGGTATACTCGACATTGAGAAACGGCCTGTCTCAACATATATTTTACCCAGCAATCATCGTATAACTGTGTTTCACAAAAACAAAGAAAATTATGTATTTTTTTATTTTATTGAATATTTTTGTAATGGTTCACTTGTAGTGTATGTTATGTTTAATATTCTTAAGTAACATTATTTGACCACTGCTTGTCTTTTTCTAGAAGCTCATTATAAAGTGCAGAATGGCTCTTGCTGCCCTCTGCTGACAAAGTGCAAAGATGCCGGGTGAAATCTGAACCCAGACACCCATTCTGTGTTATTTGGACATTTCACTTCTGTACTTCGACAAATACATATACATTTTAGGAGACTAGAAAAAATAGTGAATTAATAGATGAGAAAATCTACATCAATAAATCAGAGAACTCTTCTGATGGTCAAATAACTAGGGTTGGTGGGACACAACACGACTGAAATTGAGCTTGGCCTTCCTGACATTTTAACCATTAATAAAAGGAACATAATCCGGAGTTCCTATCATTTAAAAAGAAATCAGCCAAAGTTGTTGATGCATCAGTGTTTATTGTTGTCTTAACAAAAGCAGCTGAACTATGCCTAAAAAAAAAGGACAACATTTACATTTGAATAATGACCTATCAATACCAAGTATTAAAAAAAAAAACACATTTTAAACTGCCTATTTGCGCTGTAAGAGTTTCAGAGGCACCATAAATGGGTTGAGGGGCAGACAGAGTCCCGTTAAGTCCAGCTCCCCTGATTGGCCGGTGGCGTTATTGCTCCCTGATGATTGGCTCTCAGCTTCCTCCGGCTGCAGTCTCTTTTCTCCACTGTCCGTGACATCACTGCTGTCAGCTGACCCAGCGGCGTTCTGCTCTCCGTTTGTTCTGGTGCCGTCTGTCTGAACACAGAGTCCCCCCTTCAGCTCTTTCAACATTTCTGTGGCCATCTTGGAGTCAGCGGTGGAGGAGAGAAATCGGTACACCTGAAGACAGGAAGACGAGGGCTGTCAAGTTGTTTTTCTAACCAGCTGTGACATGATAGCGTGATAGTGGTGAATACAACATTTTTTAAAGGGAACAAAGTTTAACAATAAAAATCCACAAACTGAAAACTAATGAAAGGGTTAATGACCTGCAAACTGGACAACACCACGATAGCCACCTGTCAATCACAATTTTACCTGGAGGTTTCTACTTGACCAAAACCTTTGCAAGTTTGGTACGCACCAGAGTAGGGCTGCACGATTTGGGGAAATAATCTAATTGCGATTTTTCTGACAGATATTGCGATTCGATTTGCGATATTTGTTTTTAAGCGACCCAACGGAAGTTTATTGTAAAATGCGGCCATATCTCCGGCTAGGAAGGTCGTATCTACGTGCTCCCGTCTCTAGCACCCCCGCAGCCCGAGCTACGAGTGAAAGAACTAAACTTACATGAAACTTCCGTTGGGTTGCTTTAAAGTCAAGCTTCAGTTTAAGATTCACCCTGTAATAGAAACATGTGATGGAGCATTACTAACCTGACTCCGATGCTTTGTTTCACCAAACCATCTAGGAAAGCTCCATTGGAAGCCATTTGGAAAAGAGCAGGCACTTTCAAAAAAACTTGGCAGGTGATTGGATCAATCTGTCTATCACCTTCTATCATGGGCCACTTCAAATTGGTTAACAATGGCTGGTACATGTGGAGCACAGCACTTCTGATTGGTGTGGATGACTGACACACAAGACATTTTTTTTTTTTTTTTTTTTTTTTTTTTAAATAAAGAAATAAAAGTTTTTTTTTTTTTTTTTAAATCGTAGGCTTTGCGATTTGATAATCGCATCATTTAAAATCGCGATTTCGATTTAAAATCGATTAATCGTTCAGCCCTACACCAGAGCTGCATACGTTTATACTGTACAACACCACATTATTTATGAGGGGATACCATCTTCAAAATTATTTTAAATCAATTAGTGTCCTATTTTCTGCCGTTTGTGTGTCAATATAACTCATTTCCGACAAGACAAGGGCCCAGTGCTTGCCATCAGTGTGAGGCGGCAAGGGTTTGAAATGATGTAAACAGGACTGGGACATTACATGGCAACATATCACAGTTCCAGCAACGGCAAACACGTTTTTACTGCCTGATTTGAACTTCTTCCTAGTTCTTTTTGTCAAAAGTTCACCATTAAAGGGTTTATGAATGAATGACCTGCGTTTATTAGCCTGTGCTTGCGGTTCCTCTGATTTCATGTGTTTTTATGTTCCGTCATAAATCATAATGTTATTGTTTCTGTGAACGTTTATTACGCCATGTGTCATCCTTTGTTTACCTTTTTATTACATTTGTTTCCCTACTGTAGTCTCTGAGCTTGCAGACATGTGAACTTACGAGAAGAATGCATAAAGAGCTCAAATGATCTTGTTTTATCAAATCAGCTGCTGCTTCTCCATGAAAACATGGAGAGAGGACAGAGAAAAAGTGTTAATACTTCAAACTATTAGAGTGCCCTGACCTCTAGAGGCCAATCAGGTGCACAACATGAATTTAGGGCCAATAAGACCCCCAACCAAATAAGTGGTTTGCAGCGTGTTGTACCTGGAGCAGATGTTTCTTCAGTTTGCTGCAGTCCAGCAGGGGCAGCTCCTCAGGCAGAGACATCAACAGGTCAACCACTATCGCACTCTCTGGAGGGCCAAATAACCTGAGATTAGATCATGTGATGCAGTGGGGGGGATATGTGGTCAGGAAGACATGTATTATTGTGGCCAATACATTACTGTGCTACGCATGGGATTGTATTGTAGAGGTCAGAATGGCTTTTGCAACACAAATAATCCTAAAAAAATTCAGAAGCAAGGTTTATTAAGTTGTGAATTTGCACTTTATTATTTTATTCTGAATCTAAGTTTGAAGGTCAATCATAAATCTTTAAAATAAGTATTTAAATGTGCACTCTGAAGTTTTTCCAACAGTGCTTTTGTTGTTAATTGTTATGTTGTTGTTGTGTGTTAGGCAAAGTTTGCACAGTATAATGGTTAACATTTAGCAGTTGTTTCATGCATTCTGATTCCTTCACCTCATAAGACTCATGAGGGCCCCCACTGATCAGGTGTTTTTTGTGGGGTGTAAATGTATAAATGTAAATACATTTCCAATCATCGAAAAATAAATAAATAGTGTGATATACCGTGATAATTTGGAAAAATACCGTGATATGAGTTTTTTGTCTTCCTGCTCAGCCCTATCTTAACAGTTAATAAATAATGCTGCAACTCGAATACACCTGTTAGATATTTTCTTCATAAATCAAAGAGCTGTTAATGGCTCCACTAACATTGTTTCCAGAGGACTGCAGATGATTGGTTGATATATCTGCCGTATTTTAGACGTCACCAATCAGAGGACTTTGGACTCACCCATAGCGGTGAGGGTACAGCTCTCGCCGGGGGTGTTGATGATACTCAGGTAGTGGTAGATCCTCTCAAAGTCCACCACGCTCTGCACGGCCAGCCCCATGGGAGAGTGCTGGGGGACACATTTGCTGGTGCGACCAAACTTGGCGTGGAATTGCCGCACGGGGGTGAGGAGGGGGGGGGGGGGCGGAAGCCCCGGAGGATGGTGCAGGACTGGGGGCTGGAGCTCGGCTGGTGGGAGACGTGTGAGGACTGGATGAGGGGGACTCTGACGACGAGGTGGTGGTGGGGGGTCGCTCTGAGGGCTGCTGGGTGATAAAAATGTCAATATTATTATTATTATTATTATAAAGATATATTTTATTGATACTAAATTAGGAATGTTTTTTGTTACAGCAGCATGTTAAAGCTCCCATGTCATGCTTTTTCGGTTATTACCCGTCCCCTTGTGTGTTATGAAGGTTTTTCTGCATGTAAACGGTGTGCAGAGTCACAAACCCTCAAAGTACACCCTGTAGGGAGTAAAACTCTAACACAGAAAAGACCTGTCTATGCTGCCCCAGAACGCCTCGTTGGAGATTTTCTTTTTCAATGTTGTTCTTCCGGGAACCAAGTGACGTAACGACGACCCCTACGTTACGTCCGCGGAGCCGTTACGTTAAGTCCGTGGATTGGCCCAAATTGACCAATCCGCAGAGACACACACACACACACACACACACACACACACACACACACACACACACACACACACCACACACACACACACACACACACACACACACACCACAACACACACACACACACACACACCACACACACACACACACACACACACACACACACACACACACACACACACACACACACACACACACACACACACACACACACACACACACACACACACACACACACACACACACACACACACACACACACACACACACACACACACACACACACACACACACTTTTCTCAGCTGCAGCTCCGCCAATTTCTCCTCCCTGAGACGGCGGGACGCGGCGAGGCTGTGAGTCGGTGTGTGAGCACACACAAACTCCCAGCCAGGCTACGGGTGTGTGTGTGTGTGTGTGTGTGTGTTCGGGATGGTTTCGCTGTGTCTCGCTGTCTCGCAGACGGCCACTGGGCTCACAGGGAGGGGGGGGCACGAGCTCCAACAAGCCGTTTAGGACAGAGAGTGAATACACATACTATACAGAGATGCTGTATGAGAAACCAATGTGAGTTTGGAAAATTGCACAATATAAATCTATTCTAGTAGACCTCAACAATGGAATTATGATCAGTAGAAATGGCCATGACATGGGACCTTTAAAACAAGGCATTGCACATCATTTGAAAATAAAGTTGACCGACCGCAGACTGAGAGGTGGGGGGGGGAGCAGGTGAGGCTCCAGCTGCAGTAGAGAGCGGTCGTGGGGTCACTCCTGGGCTCATGGCTGCTGCTGGACTCTTCAGTGCTCTGATTGGACGGGCTGTGTTCAAATCAAATCAAGTTTATTTATAAAAGCACATTTAAAAGCAATTTTTGGTCGAGCCAAAGTGCTGTACATGTAATAAAAACACATTACTACAATCACAATAAAAGACAATAAATTACAACAGATATATATAAAAAATAAAAAAAAACACAAGGAAAAGTCAGGAGTCGTGCTCCGCTCTAACTAGAAAGCCAGAGAGAAGAAGTGTGTTTTTAGAGTAGATTTAAAACCCCCTAGGGTCTGGGCCGACCTCACATGGAGGGGCAGAGTGTTCCAGAGCCTAGGGCCAGCTGCAGCGAAGGCTCGGTGCCCTCGGGTTTTAAGCCTGGTCTTGGGCACTACCAGCAGCAGCTGGTCAGCCGACCTTAAAGCTCTGGCTGGGGTGTAGCGCTGGAGCAGTTCAGTTATATAGGCCGGAGCCAGCCCATTTAGTGCTTTAAAAACAAATAAAAGGATTTTAAAATCAATTCTGAACCGAACTGGGAGCCAGTGCAGTGAGGCCAGAATTGGGGTGATGTGGTCACGCTTTTTGTGGCCAGTCAGCAAACGTGCAGCTGCGTTTTGGACTAGCTGCAGGCGTTTAATTGAGGCCTGGTCCATACCCACATACAGAGCGTTGCAATAGTCCAGTCTTGAGGTAACAAAGGCGTTAATAACCCTTTCTAAGTCATTAAAAGATAAATACGACTTGGTTTTGGCCAATAATCTTATTTTAAAAAATCAGGATTTGACTACGGTGCTGACCTGCTTGTCGAATTTAAAAGTGTTAGTGAAGGTCACTCCAAGGTTCGTGACAGAGGGGAGGATGTTTTTTTTCAGAGCCCAGAATATCAACCCGAGAGGCTGGAGGTTGGGGTCCAAAAAAGATGACCTCAGTCTTGCTCTCGTTGAGGTTGAGAAAGTTTTTGCTCAGCCATAATTTTATCTCTGCTAAGCAGTCCATCAGCTGCTGTAGTGAGTTGACATTTGCTTTGAGAGGCAGATAGATCTGTACATCGTCGGCGTAGCAGTGGAAGGGAATATTATGTTTAGTGAGAATTGAACCTAGGGGCAGTATGTACAGTAGAATAAGGATGGGGCCCAGAATCGAGCCTTGGGGAACCCCACAGGTAAGAGGGGCTTTAGCAGAGGAGAAGGCACCTAGCTGCACTGAGAAGCTACGGTCTGTCAGGTAGGACCTGAACCATGCAAGGGCAGAGCCTGTGATGCCAGCGGACTGTTCAAGCCGTGACAACAGGATGCTATGGTCCACAGTGTCAAAGGCAGCTGTCAGGTCTAACAGCACCAGGACAGCTGGGCTACCTGAGTCGGCGGCTAGGAGCAGATCATTAAAAACTCTTAAAAGGGCTGTTTCAGTGCTGTGCATGGGTTTGAAGCCAGACTGAAACTTTTCATGGATGCCATGCATGGTTAAAAAAGACTGCAGCTGGGCGTAGACTACTCGCTCCAGGGCTTTAGATAAAAAAGGTAGCTGGGAGATGGGCATAAAATTTGCGAGAATGGAGGGGTCGAGATTTTTCTTTTTAAGTAGTGGCTTAACCACGGCATGTTTGAAGGCAGCTGGGACACATCCTGAGGTAAGAGAGGTGTTTAAAAGTAATAAAATACTTGCTCCAACTGAATCAAAAACATCTCTGAGAAGGCGAGAGGGAATGCTGTCTGAGGTGCAGTTTGTCGGCCACAGGTGCTTGACTACATCCGAGAGAGAAGAGAGGGATACAGGCTCAAAGTGGTCGAGGACAGCAGGGCACAGAAAAGGAGCAGGATCTGGGGTAGCACTAGTGTGAGCTAGCCTAAGAGCAGATACTTTTTCAATACAAAATGTAAGAAACTTATCACAGAGAGTAGTCGATGGGACAATAGAAGAAACATCACAGGGATTAATGATAGAGTTGAGGACATTAAAAAGAACTTGAGGTTTATGGCTGTTTTTGGAGATGAACAGAGAAATGTGCTCTGTTTTGGCTGCTTTGACTGCCGTCTGGTAGTCGGAAAGGCAAGCACGAAGGATTTCTAGGGAGACATGGAGTTTATCCATTTTTCCATTTTCTCTCTGCACGCCTGCAAGCACGTCTGAGATCACGAGTACAGTCATTGAGCCACGGCTCTGATAGAACTTTGGTGCGTCTAAGCGTAAAAGGAGCAACAGAATCCAGTATTAGTGTATATGTCGAGTCAAACATGGAGATAAGCACATCAGCATTAAAAGCACAGTTCACATCTAATTTACAGATCGGAGAAGCATTAAAAACATCAGAGAACTGTGAGGCAGTCAAGGGGTTAATCGAACGCAGACGACGCGCCGGGGCACGTGATTCGACTCCTGCGGAAGGGATGGAGGTTGTAAACAGAACCGGTAAATGGTCTGAGATACGCGTTGCTGCACAGATTTCATCCACAGATACAGACAGTCCAAACGATAATACTAAGTCCAAAGTGTGTCCTTTTTCGTGTGTTGGGCCAGCCACGGACTGAACGAGACCAAAAGAATCAAGGAGATTTAAAAAGTCCCTAACCAGGGGTTTGGACTCGCAACACACATGGACATTGAAGTCTCCGGAGATCAAAACACGATCATATTTCACCATGATCCCGGACAGAAAGTCAGAAAAGTCATTTATGAAATCCTTATTGCACTTTGGCGGACGATACACGACTGCGCAGAGTATAGGCGAGGCCGGGTTCAGTTCAAAAAGCTGCAACTCAAAGCTAGCATAGCTAGTTACAGGGTGAAGCAATCGGCATTGGAGGCTAGCTCTAAACACTGATGCTATGCCCCCACCATGGCCGGTGGTACGGGGGGAGCTGAAGAATGTACAGTCAGGAGGAAGAAGTTCAGAGAACGGTATATACTCGCCAGCGTGGACCCAGGTCTCCGTCAGGAACATAAAATCCAGTTCACGAGAGGTGAAGAAGTCGTTTAGCAGGAACGTTTTGTTTGCTATCGACCTAGCATTTAGCAAAGCCATGCAAAGTTTTCGCTCCGGGCTTGCCGAAGGTGTAGTGCGTCTCAGCTGACGAAGATGTGCGTGTTGAACGCCGCGCAGGCCGGGAGCAGTCAGTCGGGCAGGAGGAGCTGTCAGCGGGCCCAGCAGAGGCCGCAGCTCCGGAAAAACAGGGCGAATGCATCGATCCCTCACATGGCGTGCAGCGAGAGGGCCATGACATCCGAGGCGTGGATAAGTCCCAGAAGAAGCCGTCAGGTATGCTTTAAGATGGACCAGTGCACCACCACGCTTTCCCCGTCGTCTAAAGCGCTTTCGGCGAGGCAGGATGCAGGGCAACCGGCGCAGGTAGGTGGGTATATCCAACAGTAGAGGGGGGGGGGGGACGATTTATGGTTGCCAGATGTAGGTTTGGGCAGCAATATAAACTCCAGTGAGGGTCTGAGGTGGAGGAGAGCTTGGCGATCGTAGACGAGCAGAGCAGAGACATTCTGACAAACATAAAACAAAAACAGGATAGCTAAAGGTAGAGAGCTGAGGGAGGCGCAGGCGCCATCTTCCCACATACTGGTCACAGTGTTCTCAACTAAGAGGGAAAAAATCACATTATGAAAAAACTGTAATATGCCCTATCATCACAGTGACATGAAGGAAATTAGCAATGCATCATTACGGTTCATTAATTATAACCATCTAGTGCAGGGGAGTCAAATTCATTTGAGTTCAGGGGCCACATGCAGCCAAATTTGGTCTCAAGTGGGCCGGACCAGTACAGAAATCATAGCTTAATAACCTATAAGTTCAGTTCACATTTCATAAATTATCTTTTAACAAAACACTATGAACAACCTAGGGCTGTGCAATTAATCGTATTTTAATCGCAATTACGATTTTGGCCTGCCACAATTACGAAAACAACATAATCGAAAAAAACTATTATTTTGCTTTGCTAGGTTGTGACTGCAACATATTTGATCTAATTAATTTTGGTCTCATTTATTTGTATTTATCATATTTATATATGTTTAGTAGCTTGGGGAAGTGGGCTCCAAAATATTTGTTGATCTTGTTTATTGGTATTTATTATTTTGATATTATTTATTTAAATGTATCATTTATTTTATTTATTTTTGTATTGGTTTTTCAGTTGAATTATACGTTCAGGGTAATCAACAGTTAAAAAGATACTGTTCAAATTATTATTTGTATTTGTTTTAAAGTTCAATAAATGGATTTTTTCAAAGTCAATGAATAATCGTGATGTCAATTATTGACCAAAATAATCGTGATTATGATTTTTGTCATAATCGCACAGCCCTAGAACAACCTGAAGTTTCTCATAAAAATAAGTGCATTTTTCCTCCGCTCGCATCTCCTGTGGGCGGGACTAAGACACGAGGATAGGAGTCGAGGGGGGGAATTCGAGAAATGAGAAAGGGCCCTGGTATCAATATTTGTTGTCCGTCAAGTGTTAGTAAGTGTGTCTACATAGAGAAGCTGGAGGTCCGTACCTTTGACTGGCAGACGGGGAACTGGCCTCAGAGGGACGGTGCATCCTACAGGCCTGTCCTGTTCTGTGGGGGGTCTGTTGACCCGGGGGGGGTTGGAGTATCTCAGGGTGTTAGGCTCTGTGGAGCACACTGTGAGCATCTGAGGAACAGAGGGAGAGGACGATGTGAGAGACACAATAATCAGTTCAGACCAGCAGGTAGAGACAGGTTGGATTCGTCACGTCAATATCTAGCACTTCTACCCCTCTCTTTCAAAGGGATCTCTTGAAAATGTTGTTTTTCCGTTTTTTCTCTTTTTGTTGTTGTTTTTTATTCATTGTCCTTTATCTTTGAGACTAGACTTCTGTTTCCTTTAATTCCATCCATCCATCTTATATCTGAATCATAGTTTAGATTTTATAAAATCTTAATGCAAGCATTTTGGATTTCTTAGTCTTTTATCAATGCATTTGTTTTGTTTTCATTTAGTTTACTCGTGCTTTTATATTGCAATATAATATGTTCTTTGTGTACACGGAATGTTATGTAATGTAAAGTGTTTTTGATAACAAAATATTGAACAAATAAATACTGTATATATGTTTGCAGTACCCGAGAGAAAGCATCTGAAACGGTTTCTTCCTGGGCTCCAGCCACCAGAGAGGCCATGCGTGTCCACTCCTCGATGGGCTTCCTGTCCTTATCCTCCTGCATCTTCTTCCTCAGTTCTAAGGTGGCAAAGGAGATCACCTGGCTCTTCAGAAGTTCCACCATAGTGTTGATCTGAAACAATGGACGGGACAAACCACACGTCTTTACATTAGAGCTACTCTGCAGTGTTTATACTCAGGGGTGGAAAAGTATTCAGACCTTTTATTTGAGTTAAAGTACCAATACCACTCTTTAAAAATACAACATTTCTAATAAAAGTACTGCATCAAGAATGGTAAAAGTATTTAAGTGCGGTTTTAGTTTTAGTTATTTAAATATAGTGTTGGATGGTTTATTTATCTATTTGTATAATTGTATTTTTAATGAATTAGTAGGAATTTAATTATCATTCAAGATTTCAACATGACACCAAAAATGTAATTGTTTTAAAGAAATAAAACCAAATAATGAACATACATTCAAGGTCCCATGTCATGGCCATTTCTACTGATCATAATTCCATTGTTGAGGTCTACTAGAATAGATTTATATTGTGCAATTTTCCAAACTCACATTGGTTTCTCATACAGCATCTCTGTATAGTATGTGTATTCACTCTCTGTCCTAAACGGCTTGTTGGAGCTCCTGCCCCCCCTCCCTGTGAGCCCAGTGGCCGTCTGCGAGACAGCGAGACACAGCGATACCCAGCCCGAACACACACACTCCCCGCAGCTTGGCTGGGAATTTGTGTGTGTGCTCACACACAGACTCACACTCGCTGTGAGTCTATTAATCTATATCAAACAATCATATTTTAAATGTGTTTGCTAAATATTGTGTGTCAAAATCCTAATTTTAACCTGTAAAATAAATGTAATGGAGTAAAAAGTACAATATTTGCTTCCAAAATGTAGTCGAGTAGAAGTATAAACAAGAATGAAATTGAAATAATCTAGTAAATAACAAGTACCTCAAATGTGTATTTTAGAACAGTACTTGAGTACATGTACTTAGTTACTACCCTCAGGGGCGCCGTAAGGGGGTGAAAAGTTAGGACGATTCTTAGGGCCCGTGACTGACAGGGGCCCAAACTATTTTAGAACATTAAGAAAAAAATGTTTAAGTAACCTTTCATCATTCATCAATAATTAACATTACCCTTGGAGAGGGTCCGAGTCCGACCCTTGTCAATTAACTACAGGGGTCCCTCAGGGCTCTGTTCTTGGTCCCCTCCTCTTCTCCCTGTACACAAACTCGCTCAGATCTGTCATTAGCCCGCATGGTTTTTCATACCACTGCTACGCTGACGACACTCAATGAATTCTGTCTTTTCCCCGCTCAGAGACCCAGGTCGTTGCACGCATCTCTGCTTGTCTAGCTGACATCTCTCAGTGGATGTCTGCTCACCACCTCAAGCTCAACCTTGCCAAGACTAAACTGCTTTTTCTTCCTGGAAAAGATTGTCCCACTCTTGACCAAACAATCAACATGGGCACCTCTGTTGTTTCCCCGACTCGGACTGCAAGGAATCTGGGTGTGACCCTAGATAACAACCTGTCCTTCACTGCAAACATCGCTGCTACAACCCGCTGCTGCAGATACACGCTTTACAACATCAGGAGGATACGTCCCCTCCTGACCCAGAAAGCGACGCAGGTTTTGGTCCAGGCTCTCGTCATCTCACGCCTAGACTACTGCAACTCCCTCCTGGCTGGTCTACCTGCATGTGCCATCCTACCTCTGCAGCTCATCCAGAATGCAGCGGCTCGCCTGGTCTTCAACCTTCCAAAATGTTCCCACACCACGCCGCTCCTCCGCTCCCTTCACTGGCTTCCAGTTATTGCTAGAATCCACTTTAGAGACAATGGTACTTGCGTACCATGCTGTGAATGGATCTGGCCCTTCCTACATCCAGGACATGGTTAAACCATACACCCCAGCACGTGCACTCCGCTCTGCATCGGCCAAACGGCTCGCTGCACCCGCACTGCGAGGGGAACCCAGGTTCCCATCAGCAAAAACATGTCGGTTTGCTATCCTGGCTCCAAAATGGTGGAATGAGCTCCCCATTGAAATCAGGACAGCAGATAGCGTGCACATCTTCCGGCGCAGACTGAAAACTCATCTCTTTCGACTCCGCTTCGAGCAATAAAATGACTAACAAAGCACTTATATACTAACAAAGGACTGGCTTATCTAAAGCCAGTTGAGTAGCACTTGAAATGTTTTGGCTCTATGAAACCTGATGTACTTATATGATTCTGTTTTCTTCAAGTTTGTATCTTCTTGGTCGAATGCACTTATTGTAAGTCGCTTTGGATAAAAGCGTCAGCTAAATGCAATGTAACATTAATAGAACGTTATATTGATAATGTACTCACTAAACTTACGATTCATTTAACTTATTTTCTTCCAAAAGTTAATTATCCAAAGCCTCTGTACACCCCCTTCTATTTACATATAATGGTTTGGTCTTGCCTCCAAACACGGTGCGGCACCGGACATGGTTCTGTGTGTACCATGTCTCAACGACTAACAAAGTCAGGCTTTCAAAAAAGAAAAGAAAGGAGAGAAAGACAAGAGAGAGGGACTAAAGGGCGACAGTATGTCACCCAGTTTTTCAAAATAAAAGGTGGGTGTGGTCCATGAGTGGTGGAAATGTGTCTGTTAGCTAAGCATAGTCCATTGTAAATAATAATTGTAATGCTTTTTTTTTACTAAACTGACATTAAGTACTGTTAATATCTTCACAGAAAATTCAGAGGTTTTTCATTTCAATGCTAAATGCAGGTACATTTTTAGCAGCTATTCATACTAAATCAGTTGTCCCTCCCCCTGGTGCCAGGACCAACAGATCCATATTTAGGCTCAACAGCCCTGTCCCCCCATAATGCTGAACCAGCTTTTCTCATTGTGTTGAATGACATGCCACTTAACATATCTGAAGGGAGACTGGAATGGAATACACAACACACACACACACACACACACACACACACACACACACACACACACACACACACACACACACACACACACCACACACACACACACCACACACACACACACACACACACCCACACCACACACACACACACACACACACACACACACACACACACACACACACACACACACACACACACACACACACACACACACCACACACACACACACACACACACACACACACACCACACACCACACACACACACACACACACACACACCACACACACACACACACACACACACACACACACACACACACACACACACACACACACACACACACACAGAGAGAGAGAGACAGAGACAGAGAGACAGAGAGAGAGAGAGACAGACAGACAGAGAGAGACAGACAGAGAGAGACAGACAGAGAGACAGAGAGACAGAGAGACAGAGAGACAGAGACAGAGAGACAGACTGAGACAGAGAGAGGAGAGAGACAGAGAGAGAGAGAGAGAGAGAGAGAGAGAGACACACAGAGAGACAGAGAGAGAGAGAGACAGAGAGACAGAGAGACAGAGAGAGAGAGAGAGAGAGAGAGAGAGACACACAGAGAGACAGAGATAGAGAGAGAGACAGAGAGACAGAGACAGAGAGACAGAGAGAGAGGAGAGAGAGAGACAGAGAGAGAGACAGAGAGACGAGACAGAGACATAGAGAGAGAGAGAGAGAGACAGGGAGAGAGAGGACAAGAGACAGAGAGACAGATAGAGATAGACATATATATATAGAGATATAGAGAGACAGATAGACAGAGATACATAATATACAGAGACATATATACATATATACATATATATATATATATATATATATAATATCATATATATATAATATTATACATATATATATATCAAAACAAAAAGCTAACATCCAATTATACATTTCAAACACAGTATTTTCCCACATATTTAAGTTATATTTATGTGGATTTATGCATTCATGTTGAGAATGTTCCATTCAAAAATGTTATACTAAAAGGCATTTACACCATAAAAGATGACTATTGATCTATTGTCAGGAATGTTAGTCTTATATCAAATAGTGAATTATACTGCAGCAGAATGTTGCACGTCTGCACAGTGTTGTATTTTCACAGCTCAGTGTCAGTAAATATTGTGCAGTTAGTATTGGACAACAAGATAGATGGAAGCATGTACCGGTAGAATTATTTAAAGCATAAATGAGTCGGTTGGGTTCTGGAGGTGTGGTTACAGCAATTGTGCTTGGTTGCAAAGTCCCTGGCGGCGCCCCTGACTACCCTGTACTCAGATTGTTGAATGTATAGGTTTTAAAACGTACCTCTAAAATGGAGCGGGTGCGGACATGTTTTCTCAGGAATTCACAGTCAATGTCTTCGTTGACGTTGTTGGTCTCCCGGAGTTCCTTCAGGGCTTTCAGGAGCTTCTTCTGCTCGGGCCGCTGCCAGGTACCGGACACTTTCAGTGGAGCCGGTGGTGGTTCAATACTCAGGTTCTTTTTCTTGCGTTTACGAGGAGGAGGCTTCATCTCAAATTATGTCACGGATACAACCTAAACTGCCACAAAAGCCCCTGGCTGGTTCGTCCCGTGAAAACTGGAGTAGTTTTTTACCGTTACTCACTGGACATAAAACTCAATTTTACCTTAAACAGAATTGATAACACGTGCCTTTACTGTTTTCTCTCACAACGACAACAAAACGTCTTCTGGTCGTTTCCGGTGCAATATTTTCACAGTAAAAGCGCGATCCCGAGACCACATTTATCTTAAACAAAATATGTTGCAACATGATGTCCACATTGAAATGCTCCTTGGACTTTTAACGTTTTTTTTCCTGGCTTGTGACCTTTTATTCAAATGGATTAATAAAAAACGATTTTAGAGTTTTCTTAAACTTTCGTTCAAGGCAGAGGAAAGAAAATTGAAAATGGAATTGCCCTTTTTAAATGCAAATGTAATAAATCCCCTCAATAGAAAGAACCTCTAATCGATAATCAACATGTTCAAATAAAAGTGAACTGTCAAATGAATTTCTCATTTTAATTTGAAAGCAAGAAGACTAACTGTTTCCGGGTTCCTCAATCCGTTGTGGGAACAATTCGCCCTGAACTTTTACTCACAGGTATTGTTTTATAATATTTATCTTCTATTTAATACAGTATGTTGTATTGCTTCCTTTACAGGCCGTGTACATTTCCTAACAATATTGCTCATATCAGTTACGGTTATAACCCGTCGGGGGATTAATAAAGGTTCTTCTTCTTCTATAAACAATTTACGACAGGAATTGCAGCCTGAAGAAACCCTCAACAATACAAAGGAGAAAACACCCTGGCCTACTAATGGGTTCTATAATAAAATTGGAAAGGCACTGAAAGCGGTATGCGGTATTTTACTTTTGACATACGTAACAGTAATATCATTTTAAAAATGCATAAATGTTATGGCAGCGGCGGGATTCGAACCCGCGCCTCCGAAGAGACTGGAGCCTTAATCCAGCGCCTTAGACCGCTCGGCCACGCTACCGTTGAATTCAATTGAAGGCATCATGACGTCATAAACCGCAACTTCTCCCAAATGTTGGGAATATGAGAATGCGACCTCCAACTTTCTTCGGCCAATGAGAATGTGAGCCCCAACATTCTTTGGCTAATTACGTTCGTGGCCCCAACATTCGTCCAACATTATATGCTCGATGCTCAATACTTGTAAATAGTAGTTGTTTTGTAAATATCTACTTGTGTATAATAGTTGTTTTGTAACTAATAATAGTGTTACTACTTGAATATAATTTGTTTGTAATGTAGTTCATACTGGAAACGTATAGTTATATTGTAATTTGTAATTGTAGTTATTTATTATTAGTTTGCTGAGAATAGTAATCTCAGTATTTATCAAATTACTTCTAAATTTGAAGTCTTTGTTGTATTTATTGTACCGTTGTGGTGTGTTTTAAATAAATCTTTCAAAAAGTATTTCCTTATTTATTTTTTCTCTGAACAAACAAAACTGGTGCACAGCAGTTGTACAGTAAGTGTTTTAATGACAGTTTGTGGAGGATAGCACATTAGTAATGGTGATGATGACAACATTTAATAGTATTAACATTCACTCTTGAAAGCAGTACTCAGATCGTCTACCTAAGTGAAAGTACTTATACCAGACTTAAAATACTACATTACAAGTAAAAGTCCTGCATTCATACATGCGGTAACATTTAGAATATGTACCTCTAAAGATGTAGTGCAGTAGAATTAAAGAATACATAATGGAAAAACTTAAGTTAAGTACAACATCACATGTATATTTAAGTACACTTGAGTAAAGTATCATTGAGTCATAATACACTATTTCTATGGCACTTTTCACAAATGAAATCTCTTCGTGTTGGGTCAATGCAATGTGTTTAAATCCCACAGTTTCCTGAAGGACTTGAATGAATGCCAGCTACTGAGTAGAGGGTCTTTCCATAGCTGACCCTCATTCTGAAGAACTGAAAATTCCTCTTTCAATTATGTTTATTTTTTGTCTGTCACATAGCGTTGTTTTCTTTTTTTTCAAGTGTCAAGTTAAAAACCTTGTAAATAACGTGTGACCAGTTGTAGAATGCATTTCATCGTTTTTTATCTTCTTTTTCATTTGTTTTATCTATTTTTCACTATTATATGTAGTATATATTCCACCGTTTTAATTCCCCTTCTCATTGTACATACATTTGTCATTCTATCACAGTTTTATGATTATTTAAAATATGATCCCTTGTTAAAAAGCACTTTTGGGGATTTCATTTGTGAAAAGTGCCATAGAAATAGTGTATTATGACTCAATGATACTAACAACAACAGAGCATGAGCAACCTTAACACAGGTACAAACACTGCTGATGCTCTATACAGTATGAAATGAAATATGAAATGACTTACCGACACAGTGGCACTCACTGCTCCGGGACTGAGGACAGGCACTGAAGCTGTCTGAGGCTGTGCAGCCTGTAAAAGGCAAGAAATATACTGACATGTGTTTAAAGAAATCATAGCATTTACATTCAAAATATTCAAAGTTATTTTTCGGCTGCTCTAAAGGAAACACTATTTGTTTTTAGCTTTCAATTGTCATTTCAGAATTAAATGTGTAACACATTATTTAATAAAACATTAAAATGGCTTTTAATTCCCTTAATACTATTTGGGAAAAATGGTGAAGGAATACAAACACGCTTTCTGTATTTGTAAAAGTCAGTTTATCATCACTTACTGAGACAGCAACGCTGGGTGCAGTGCTGAAGCTTCTTCCTGTGGGGTAAGTGCTGGTAGATGCTTCTGTGGGGTCCGTGACATGGGTCTGTAAAACATTCAGTATGAGTCAATTGTATAAATAATCTAAGTTAAACTGTTATTTAAAAAAATAAAATCGATGTACCTCTGTTGCCTTTCTGGGTCTGGCTGTACTCAAATGTGGCTTTGCAAGAGCAGCGTGTGCACCACCACATCTTGACTTTGTAAACTGAAAGGCAATAAAGCAAGCAAATATGTCATGAGAGGATACTGTCAAAATATAATTTGTCTTAAAATGTTAATGGTCAATACATGAGTCTAAATAACTGTACAAATACCATTGACAAGTTTAGTGGTGTTCGCAGGTGTCCTTCTGCTGCAGTCTGCTGGTGTCCCACAGCGCCTTGGACAGTACCTGCTGAACTCTGCTGCCCCACAGCTCTGTGGACCGGACCAGATGCAGCACTCTGCTGCCCCACAGCTCTGTGGACCGGACCAGATGCAGCACTCTGCTGCCCCACAGCTCTGTGGACCGGACCAGATGCAGCACTCTGCTGCCCCACAGCTCTGTGGACCGGACCAGATGCAGCACTCTGCTGTCCCACAGCTCTGTGGACCGGACCAGATGCAGCACTCTGCTGCCCCACAGCTCTGTGGACCGGACCAGATGCAGCACTCTGCTGTCCCACAGCTCTGTGGACCGGACCAGATGCAGCACTCTGCTGCCCCACAGCTCTGTGGACCGGACCAGATGCAGCACTCTGCTGTCCCACAGCTCTGTGGACCGGACCAGATGCAGCAGTCTGCTGTCCCACAGCTCTGTGGACCGGACCAGATGCAGCAGTCTGCTGCCCCACAGCTCTGTGGACCGGACCAGATGCAGCAGTCTGCTGCCCCACAGCTCTGTGGACCGGACCAGATGCAGCACTCTGCTGTCCCACAGCTCTGTGGACCGGACCAGATGCAGCACTCTGCTGTCCCACAGCTCTGTGGACCGGACCAGATGCAGCACTCTGCTGCCCCACAGCTCTGTGGACCGGACCAGATGCAGCAGTCTGCTGCCCCACAGCTCTGTGGACCGGACCAGATGCAGCACTCTGCTGTCCCACAGCTCTGTGGACCGGACCAGATGCAGCAGTCTGCTGCCCCACAGCTCTGTGGACCGGACCAGATGCAGCAGTCTGCTGTCCCACAGCTCTGTGGACCGGACCAGATGCAGCACTCTGCTGTCCCACAGCTCTGTGGACCGGACCAGATGCAGCACTCTGCTGCCCCACAGCTCTGTGGACCGGACCAGATGCAGCAGTCTGCTGCCCCCACAGCTCTGTGGACCGGACCAGATGCAGCAGTCTGCTGTCCCACAGCTCTGTGGACCGGACCAGATGCAGCACTCTGCTGTCCCACAGCTCTGTGGACCGGACCAGATGCAGCACTCTGCTGTCCCACAGCTCTGTGGACAGGCTGTTGTTCCATGACAGTGAACATAGATCAGTAATGAGTTTGTTTAATGATATGGATGCAAATAAACACTTGCACAGACAACATGAGGTTTTCATTTAGTTCTTGAGAGTGTTACCTTCTGAGGGTGGAATCCACAGGTACACTGCCGCACTTGGCCAAACAAGGATTTCTGTCCATGTGCCTGCATTGGACACTTCTCAATCTGAAAATAGCAGTTGTGCATTTGATTGAGTTAAAAAAAAGGATGAATCATTTCATTAGTGCAGTAAATAAAAAGGTACTAAAATACATAGTTCCATGAATATACTCATACCCTTTGATACAGCTCACACCATTTCTTCTGCCTGGGAGCCGGCCTGTTTCCCTCCCCTGCAGGCCAGGCCCCCGTGCTGGCAAACTTCCTCAGGCGGGACATCCACTCTGAGTCCGACATGGCCTTGTGTGCTTTTGCTTTCCTCAATTGTTCCTTTAAATGCCATTTTTAAAATGTCTTCCATTTTTGTAAAGCACTTTGAATTACCTTGTGTTGAAAGGTGCTATATAAATAAACTTGCCTTGCCTTGCCTTTAGAGTCATATATGTGAGAACATTTTTAAATGCATAGAAACAACATAGCTGCAGAAACATATATATCAAGTGAAACACTTTTACGAGGAGTAAGCTGTCAGGTCTTTATGCCAGAAATTGTGTGTGAAAAAGTTATTGTTTGGGTTAAAAAGATCTTTCTGGCAGTAAGCCTTGAAAGCCTCTCCAATGTGTTTGAAAGCAAGCTCATAAGAACCTTAATTGCAATCATATAAAATATTTGTATAAGAAAACATTTAGGGACCTTTAACACAGTGTGCATTTCCAATGATATGATTGGGGGGATAATAACCTGCTCTTGATTCTGAATATTTAATTTCATAGAGGACATGCGAAACTATGACTAACATATATCATGTTTTCATGCTTTGATAAAACACAATGTAGTATTAATTGTATTACTAAAATACCAGGCCCTGGCACAGACACATTTGTGTATGTAATAATCATTTCCTGATGATTTATTTGATACAAATAGCATTTTCTAATTAATGACATGTATTTTATTGTATATAACATGGTTTTGTAGTTCCTATAAAACATATAAAAAACGTTTGGTCCATTGTAGTGAAAGGTAAGCATTAAAACAAAAAACACAATATAAATGTTAAATATACTTGACCTTTACATTGGAGGTTTTATCTAAAAAGTAAATTGTGTGTTTGAAAATATCATGAATTAGAAAAGCATTTGATTAGCGTCAGCCAGAGCCGTATATGGCGCTGGCGTCAGCTACCTTCTTGGGCAAGTAGCCTATGTAAATAAAGGCCTAGTAATCTATATGACAACACGATACAACAGTTTGAATTAACTATAAATGTATAGTCATAACATATACAACACTGTAATAAGACTCACCATGTTCATAAAAACGTAAAAACTTGTAAACTTTGTTAGCGTCTCCGTTATCTGACAATGGGGTCAGATAACGGAGAGTTTGTAAGGATAATAGTTGAATGAATCTATATGACAACACGACACAACAGTTTGAATTAACTATACACTTGTAGTCATATCATATACAACACTGTTATAAGACTTACCATGTTTGTAACCACTCGTAAACTTTAATGATGTCCTCGATGTTATTACGATGTACGCCCCCTTCGTTGCTCCAACATTTCTCCGCCGTGATTGGTCAAATTATGGACGAATTTTGGACGAATGTAGGAGCCGCGGACGTGATTGGCCGGCAAATTATGGAGCTGGCACTGCCATAGAGAGGCGAAGTCCCTCCCTTTCCGGGGGACCTCCATGGGACCTTATTTTGGAAAAAGTATGCATTGAAGTCAATGGAGAGAGAAAGATTATCTTTCAATCCCGTTTGAATTGTGCCACGAATTACACATATGATGTTTGTCAATTTAGTTAGTCGGTTCTGTAAGAGCCAGCATGCGGGACCAGGATTCTGGGATTTGTAGTCTTTCTAGTTGCCTATTTTTCATAGTCTTATATTTCAACAGTTTTACGACAAACTGTGACTTTTTTGACATGGAAATTATTTTTTAAGATTGACAAACATCATATGTGTAATTCGTGGCACAATTCAAACGGGTTTGAAAGATAATCTTTCTCGGCCCATTGACTTCAATACATCATTTTTCCGAAATAAGGTCCCATGGGTCGGAAGTAGATGGGCGGGACTTCGCCTCTCTTTTGGCTAACCAATGTTGGAGCTGGCTCTCTGATTGGCCATATTCTCAACATTTCTCCAAATTAGACAGCCGAACCTGCGGCAGCTAGGAGGCTCCAGTCTCTTTGGAGGCGCGGGTACGAAGATTTAATTAGTTCCACCGTTCATGGGTTCGAATCCCGTCGGCGGCGTGTCCATGTAATTGGAAAACATGAAAAGTTTCCCATGTGAGCCCAGATAGCTAAAAATACATAATTCAAGTAGATATTGTTTTTAAAAAGACACACATTTTCCCCTTTTCTCTATTATCCCCCCTTCTTCCCCTTCTTTGACAGTCAGCGCATTAGACCGCTCGGCCATGCTACCATTGATTTCAATGAATTGCATCATGACGTCATAAAGAGTGTTTACGTCTGAGAATATTTAAGTTATACAAAAAATCTATGCTACATGTATTGGTGTGGATACACTGAATGTCTGAGAGCTATTAAAGGTTTCCACAACAGTATGTCCAATGTGTGTGTATGTGTGTGTGTGTGTGTGTGTGTGTGTGTGTGTGTGTGTGTGTGTGTGTGTGTGTGTTTTAATGAGCGTGCTGCTTCATTGAATATGTTTGATCATCTTACTGTTTTATGTACATGCATGCATACATATGTCTTATGTGTGCACTGTGTTTGTGTGTGTGTGTGTGTGTGTGTGTGTGTGTGTCCGTGTGTGTGTGTGTGTCCGTGTGTGTGTGTGTGTGTGTGTGTGTGTGTGTCCGTGTGTGTGTGTGTGTGTGTGTGTGTGTGTGTGTGTGTGTCCGTGTGTGTGTGTGTGCTCTGCAGTGGCTGCATGATGATGTTGGTGGATGAGTCACACAGTCTTCACCACGTGACATCATGAATCACTGCACCTCTCCATTGGCAGAGCTGCAACCATCAACCACTCCACTCCTCCCTTATCTCATCCCTCACCCCCCCCCCCCCCCCCCCCACTGCCTCTGCCCAGCCCTGTGTTACTTTTTTCCTCACCCCGTCATCTGGCACCCTCTCTGTCTTCTCTGTTTCTCCACCTTCTCTTCATTGTTTTACCAGCAGCCTTTCCTTTGCATTGCACAGCAGCCTAAATATGCCTCAGCAAAAATACTGATCACTTAATACACGTTTGCATTGTACACCATTTCTGTGTGTGCATCTCTGCCACTCACACAAACCACCTAAGTGAATGCATCCATTCATGGTGTCTGTGCTGAGATTGAATTACTGGAGCTCCATTGACAGCCCGTGGAAGTCCTTGACTTTCAATAGTTGTTGTGTTTCTCAAACCTTGACAGCCATGCATTTGTGGTGGTCTGCGTGGGTGTACGCACATCCCTGCAGCCCACAATTACCATCTCCTGTGATGGCTGCTCCAACATCTAATCACCCTGCTGAACACGGCCCCCACCCCTGAGCAGCATGACGTATCAAAGCAAGCCTAATCCTGTCTTCTGCTCCCTCCCACCTTTAATTACTGTCTGTGCTATAATCGGCCCCCAAGGACTACACAGGGGATTATCATTCTTAACCCTAGATGTGATTTATTTATCATGAAGATGGTGTACTTTCCTGAAAGCACCGGAGCATCATTGTTTTTGTCTTGAATATAGTGTTTATTAAAGGAGTAACTAACTCACCTTGCTTCCAAAATAATAGCTACATGTTTTTTATCTGTGCTGATCACAGTTTGGACCAATGACTTTCCTGTTCATCTTTACAGCTGTTTCCTTTGCAAAGAAATCTACAGAATGCATGCTTAGACATTTGAATGGCCGTCACATTATATCAACAAGTGATGTCGCATTCAAGTCCTCTCAACTGCAGCATCTTGTTGGTCCCTGGTACTCTGGGCAGTAAACTCTCACACCATCATCAGTTTTCATGGGGACCATTTTTCTGTAAAAAGTAGTTCCAGACAACTCTGCTCCGCTGTTGCATTTTTAAAAGGTCATTTTTTAAAGCTCTGAGCACTTTCGTTCTGAGCAGGCAGAATGATCAGAGAAACCTTGACATATAAAAGCAGAAATATGGAGAGATATACATTTACATTTTACTTCCACTTCAAAATCCATCCATCAATCAATCCACCCATCCAATGATTGTCCACAATGAAGCATTTTGTATTAAAAATAGTTCACTTTATTGTTTCTTTACGTGTAGCAAAAGTAGTCATTGACATGCGCATATTTACATCCAGCAAACGCATGTTTATCACGATGGTTACAACAAGGTACATCTAGAAAGATCACGGACAACACTCGCCGCACACAGGACTCATTTTGAGGTACACTGACGTCATTGTTTCTGTCATCTTTGATTTTTTTATACTTTTTTCATTGATGCTTGTACGTCTTCAAAGAAGCAATTTTTAGATGCAAGTATACATAAACGTGCAGACACTGTACCCTCGCCTCTGGTCTGTCGCTTCATTGTTCACTCCTCTGTCTGTAACTCCTCTCTCATAACAAAACTACAAATTGTTAGAAATGATAAAAAGGCTTTGTTTTTACTTCCATCTCTTCAACTCTTCTTTGACTAATGGCCTCGTGTTGACATTTCTTTCAGTGTGAGATTGTCGATGCCGTTAATCTGTTTTGGATGGCAACGATGATGTTGAGATGTGCTCATCCCTTAGCAACAGATGGCCTCAAAGGTCAACAATACGGACAAACCAAAGAGCAACATCCGCTATTGTTCCCAGTGACGCATTTGAAAAACCGATAAACCGGGAGAAAAGGACGTGTTTATTGATTACTGATTATCAGTAAGTCAAGAAAGGAAATGTCAGCAGTCCAATCTCCTTTTTCTGCACGTTAAAAACCTTTTTTGACAACGCTGTCCAATCCAAGAACAATTCCTTTATCATGCTTTAAAAATGATCAATAAACTCCAATTCTATCATCCCACCAGTTTCCATTACAAAAGTGATTACATCCTTGATCTCATTGACAATATCAAATGGTACAAAAGAGGGAAAGAAAGCATAATGTTAAGAATGTCACAGTGACATGTAAGGCAGCAAATATCAGCCCAAGAACTTCCTACTTCAAAATGTATAAAATGTATGATTGATGGTTGTGCAACATGTGGACAACAAGACCAATACAATACTCTTTGAGTTGATAATGGTCAATACAAATGTTGATTGGTAAGATGACACTAAATGGTCTCATTTAGCTGAATGAAACTTTGGGGTCCTATATCAAAGCCATAGATGGTTTCTTTAAAGGATAAGGTTACGGATTGTCTATATCACAAATGTAAACTGAGTGCTACAAACATACAAACAGGGTAGGGGAGTAAGAAAATATGGAACACATTTGGTGATATAGATGAATAAAGGAATAACACCAGCCTTACCCTTTCAAATGCATGTGTTAAGTAAAAAGAGCAGTATGCCTTCACCACTGCATTCTCCTCTGAAGGCATCACAAAATGCCATATAGACTTTGGCCAGGCTTTGGCACCATAGCAACAAGGTAATTGAAGTTATGCAAAAGTATGAGTCATCCAAGCCATTATAGTGATGGTAGGGTGGCTTCTGCAGCCCTTTGTATGAAATATTCTTTTTGGTGCGGTATATTTCATTATAAAGAGCTCTGTGTGAGTATACATATAGAGAAGGTGCGTTTCTGCAGAAATGCTTTGCTGCAATTTTATACAAATAACACAAAATGACACATTTGCATTAAATGTATTCATTTTAAAAACAATGAGATAGTGAATGGCTCCGGCAAGAGGCCATTTCAAGGTTATGATGATGTAATGTCATCTCTAAGAGACAATAGGTGCACCAGTTGATACAGACACGCTGTGTATCCAGGTTGGGGCGACTTCGGTCCAATTAAGGGAAATGAGGATATAGTGAGTGTTTTGTTGGAGGACACGAGCAGCCAATGGCTAGGCCACCACTTGTTGGTCCACAAGGTCAACAGATATTGACGTCTCAGATTACGGATTTCTTTTATCATGTACTCAGAGACATACAATATTGGCGTTGGAACTTCATAATGCTCTGAATGTGTCTGATTAACACATGGCTGGAATGTTTGGGGTCCACATAGTTTTGGACATTTAGTGTAGGGGAAATATTCTGTATAGATGACTCATTTTTAAAAGTTCCCTGCCTGAGAAAAATACACAAAATTCTCTGTTTGGTTGCCATCAAACATTTCCCAGCATCCACCACTGCCTCTGATGTTCCCGACTCTTTGACTGTGAACAATATGTTTTTTTAAAGGTACAGGTAACAACATATTTAAGCGTCCTCCTTTGTTGGCATTGTAAAATGTCCATATGGAGAATGTTGTCATGCCGGGAGTTTGGATGAAGTGTTTTAGCATGATACAAATCTTTGCTGAGTCATGCTTCCCAACGGGACGTTCATCCCGTCCCCCTCTTCCCAGAGGAGTGTAGATGTCTTTCTTTCTTTTCATTTTCCTACAAAAGGTACATTTTATTCAGACTACCTCTGGAAAAAGTCCTCCTGAATGTCCTGTCCAAATAGCAACCATTTAAAAAAGGAGAAAGAGACATACGTAAAACAAAACCAGCAAATCAAAATCCTAGATACTTTCCCTCTCTCCTCTTTGAACCGATTCCCGCTCTTTTCCCAACCCTCTCAGTCTAGCATTGGTCTCCTCATGAGAATCTGCTCTATGTATTTCTCCAGATCGTCACGGTTACTGCTGTCTGGCTTCTTTGCAGCCATATACAAATCTTCATTTCTCGCCGCTGCAGGTGCCGCCGGTGAGTAATAGAACTTCTGTTGGGGAGGGATCACGGGCATTCTGGGAGGGGAACGTGGCTTGGGGTAGTTCTGAAAGCGATAGCTGCTGTAGTAGGGCCTCTGCTGGGGGCCTGCGGGGGGGGTCCTCAGCCGAGGCTGGACCCAGCTGTGGTACCGGCGTCTGGGAGGGAAAGAGTAGGTGTCGTCCACGGAGTTACTCAGGTAGTTGTTGAGGTTGAGGGCAGGTTTGGTGAGGTAGTAACGGGGTTTGGGTCTGGGGGGAGGAGGGTAATAGACGGGGTTGTACTCTGGGTACTGCTTCCTCTGGTAGTAGGACGGGTATTTGTAGGGGTACGAAGGGTAGCCAGTCCAAACCGGCTTGGGCGATTGGAGCCAAAGATCCTGTTTGTACGACTTCTGAGGTTTGGGCCAGCGGTTGGGATTGGCTAACGGAGGCTTTGCAGGTTTGCTCCAGAAATCTTGCGATGTGGTCTGCGTGTTCTCCTGTAACCAGTTCTTCAGGCGATTGACAGATGGAGAGGGTTGCTTAGAAACCGGGAATTGATCGGTTGGAATCTGTGGTGCTGAAAAGGCGTTGTTCGATGAGTACGACGAAGACAGCGGAGTTGGGGGTCGTTGCCATCGAGACGGCGTCTCCGGCGACACGTCTTTCTTCTTCTTCTTCTCCACGTCACTGATGATGTCCACCACGTCGTCAGCGGGGAGGTGGAGTTTGTTGGAGATCTCGATCAGCTTGTCGATAGTCTGGGGATCGATATCGTCTTCCTCCGTCACTTCCTGCTCCTCGTCGGACCTCTTGTCCTCGGCGGCGTTGGACAGAGACGAGCGGTACTTCTTGTTCCCGTGGTTCTGTTTGACCATGTAGCGCAGCAGCATGTCCGAGGCGATGTCCGCCAACTTCTCCTCCTCCATCTTGGCTTTCTGAGCCTCGGCCGCCTGCCTTCTCATCTCCTCCTGCTCCGCCTTAGCCTGGACCTCCTCCTCCTCAGGACTCAGAACCTCCTCCTCCTCCTCGTCCTCCTCCTCCGGCTCATCTCCTTCCATCGCCTCCTGGTCAGACGGAGCATTAGACTGTGCAGCATTACTGCCAGCGTTATTGTCCTCAAAGTCGTCCATGAAGTTGCCTGCCTTGAATGTTGGGAAGTTCATGGCTTTCTGTGTCTCTTCCTGCCATTTCAGTTTCTTCTTGGACATGGCGAGGTCGTTGCCTTTGTGGCTCGGCATGACGTCGTTGTAGCTGCTGTAACCTCGGCTCTCTCTCTGGGCTTGCTCTGATTCTCCTTCCCTCTTGGTGGCCGCGTTCAGACGTGGGAATTGCTTCATCATGGTCTCCAGGTTCCTCAGCTCCTCGGGGCTGATCTGCTCGTCCTCGTTGCTCTCTTGGTCCGGGTTCTGTGGGAGAGACCCCTGACTGTTGTGCCCTGTTCCATCTGGACTGGCGGGCTTCTCAGTTTGGACCGGGACTGTCTGACTGGTGGTGCGACTCGTCACCTTTTCTGTCATCCTTTCCTCTTCCTCCTGAGCTCTCTTCCTCTCCTCTTCTTCCTGTTTGCCCCGCTCCTTCCCCTGTGCGGCCATCAGAAGTTCTAACTCCTTCCTTCCGTCTCTGTCTCTGTCTGTCCCCTCCATCATTCTCACTTCTCTGCTCGCTTCGTCCTCATTATTAACTCCACCCGTCTCAGCGTTTGTCTCTTCTCTCATCCCATCGCGCTCCCCTCCCTCCCTTCTTCTCCCCACTTGTGAGCGATTTAGTGCCTCCAGTAAAACCGCCGCTAGTGTTTTGGGATCCACATCTTTAAAGAGCTCGTCTTCTTCTTCCTCTGCCTCTTCTTTCTGTACCCACCGCCTCTCCTCTTCCCTTCCAGGAGGAGGGTCTCCATGTGGGTTAACGACGTCTCCGGGGATGTTGATGGGGCTGGGGGTGGACAGCCGGGGGAGGGAAGCCCCTGTCAGGAGGACAAGGAGGGTAAGGGCACTTGAGGCTGTGTGGTACCCGATCATGGTCAGTCAGAACGGGGTCCACTGTGAGCAGCAAGGGGGGCTCAGAACTGCCTGGAGGAGAAACAACATTTCTGTCATCAGTTTCAATGTCTGACTTTTTACCCTGCAGCAAATCACAATGATGAGTAGAGATGAAGAGTGTGTTAGAGGTGCTTTCCTAATATGTGCCCCTTAAGACGATATATGGAAACCTACAATATAAATGATTCTTCATTTCCCAGATTTATTTCAATTTTTCTCAAACTTGAATAAAAAATCGATCATATCATATATAAGTACTCAGATCCTTTACTTAAGTAAAAGTACAAATATTATGGTCTTAAAATACTCCACTACAATGTTAGAGGGCTAATTTCAAAATGTTACTTAGTATTAGCAAAGAAATGTACTTAAAGTACACAAAGTAAAAGTTGATTGGATCTTTTTTTAATATATTATCCTGTTTTTATACATATAAGATCCTTTTAGTATTCTAGTTTGGCAATGTGGACCAAATGTAGATACTTGAAATACTGCGTATATTAGTAACTGTATACTTACTACACTATAGGCTACCATATCAGCATGTGTTTTAAATACAGTAATTGTGAGTGTTAAATAAATGTAGTGAAGTAGAAGTATGAAGTAGCATTCAATAAAAATACTCAAGTACAATTACAGTATATGACAAAATAGTACAATACTTGAGAAAATGTAATTAGTTACTTTCCACCACTGCATGTCATATTTCACGCATTAAAAAACTGAACACTATTGGATTCAGCCGATAGGGACTGATCAGCCGTATGTAATGGAGGGGGGGAGGGAGGGAGGAGAAAACATACGGGGAGGGGGAGGGGGAGGGGGGAGGGGGAGGGCTACAGGTGACGTATGTTACCATTCCTTCTTTTCAATTGGCAACACCTCGACTTTAGGATAAGTGCACAAACAGGTCTAACATATCCCTGTTTGGCTCCAGGTCGCTTACATCGCCATAATAACCTGTTGTTATTCATGCATGGCACCAAGCCACTGTTTGCTGCAGTTACTTCAGGGATGCTGCAGAAATATGGGCTGCATTTTAAAAACGATTTAACATGAAAATGTCAAAAACAAGTTTAATTTCGATGTTTTTTTCAGTGAAACAACAAACATTTGAAGGGCCAATGAGATGATTGGGTGGCGCATGTTCTGCAGTGGAGGTGGCTGTGATGCGTGATGTGCAAACACGCAGCAGATGATCTTATCTCATCCTCCATGAAACAGATCATCTCTGCATCTGCCCTGTTTTCTTCACTACAGAAGGTATAGAGATCTGGTTTAGCAGGTCACACAACAAATATTTATAATCTGCTTCTGAGGCAATCATCAAGAAAAATCTGCCAGCATATAAAGCCACCTCCAGACTTCTGTCAACAGCAGTGCCAACCCCCCCCCCCCCACAGCCCACACACCAACAGTAACCTCCAGACCCCCAACAGCACGGACGTCAGAGGTGCAGACATTTTAGACACGACATAGGAATGTCACAGTGTCTGTGTTATCATTTTTAATGTATTCATGTTCACTTTCACGACCTTAAAGCACATGAACCGTTCGTTTTTCTACTGGGTTATTTTTGGCAAGGCGAGTAGCGTTTAATGGCTGGAGATGACGATAATTGTGATGATGATGATGGTGATGGTGATGATGATGATGATGATGGGGAGGAGGAAGAACATGATGAAGATAACAGCCACCTCTGCTGACCACAAATAAAGAAATATGCCCAGGGTGTAATTCATCTGATGCGAAGTAGAATACAAGTCTATAAACAATTAACTTTAAAATAGTTTTTTTTTTTATGTATCAATTATCTATTTTTTATAATTATATAATATAACAATGTATTTTGACAAATATTTCTAAAGGTGATTCATCATCATTTTGATCATTATAACCAGATACTTTTTTAATAACAATTTTTATAATTTTCAAAAAAAATGAAGGGTTGCGCTAAAAAAAAGGGGGAAAAAAGCAGACGTTTCGGAGTTGTTTAACATTTTCATAAATAATCTCATTATAAATAATAACACATCCAAAGCAACATATTTCCCTGTTCAGAAGCAAAAGTAAAGTAATGCAAAATAAGTTTGTACTCACTGGCAGTCAGAGGGATCGGCGCGGGGATTCCAGCTTCCCTGCTGGTCACGTCACACTCCTGGAAGTCCCGCTGTCATGCACTGAACCCGCTGTTCTGCACTTTCAGTGGTTGTTTTTTTTGCGCTAAAGTGGCTAAATGTGTTCACTATTGTCGCGGATGCTTGGTCACCTCCTCTCCCGGGGTTCCGCTGCTCGGGTCGTCTGGTTTCAGCACCACGGACAGCGGCTGCTCGGCTCTTATAGCTCGGTCCTCCCGGCCCACGTGTTTCATGCGTCAAGCGATCCCCATTGACGTCACTCGACTGTGTTTCATTCATAAGATTGCACTGCTGTCTCCCCCCCCCCTCCTCCTCCTCTCCTCCCCTCTCTGATCGAACCAATTAGCTGCAGTGCTCGCGCTGCTGAATGAACAGAAGCTGCTGAATGAATCCGCAATTTACCAGCCTTTCTGAGGACACAGCATGTGGAGTTGTTTTTCTCAACAATAAGCAAAGATACAGAACAATTATACACAATTACACACAGATCTTACATGTGGACAAGGAAGGGCTGGCAGCTGAGGATGATCCGCCCCATATGTGTTTTGTGTAACTATTGGTATATATGTACACATGTTGTATGAATGTACTGCAGGTAGAGAGTTCTGTAAACAAGTGATTGACATACTGTAGAGATGATTGGAGTTCACATGTCTCCCAAACATTCTATTGCTGAAGGATGATTCCTCTTTCCATGTATTAAACCATCACAAAAGGGTGCTCTTCGCTGGTTTCCTCAGCCAAAATGATTCTCATAACACAATGAAACCCCCACATGCTATATTTATCAAACAATGGATATCTTCCTTCCATGATCTCAGAGCTGTGATTTGCTTTTGTTAAAAATGCTTAAAAAAGTATAGATTATGAATTGTTATGCTAAATTGTGTGTAACAGATGAACTCAGACGATTGCTAACAAGCATTATGAATGTTTTCCTTTCTGATTTTGTATTATCGTTGACATCATGTTGTATACGTGTGTCCCTCTGTAAGGGCAAATAGAAACAAATGCAAAGTTGATCACAAAAACAATAAGCAAAGATGGGAAACATATTTGTTATAAATTACAAACGAATAATGTATTGTCTTGCAAAGAGATGTATTACACATGTCTTATACAGTATGGAGCACCTGTGTTACAACTTGCTAATGAAAGCACATATATAACAATGCACAGTGCACTGAAACAGTATTTCCCTTGTGACTGTCTACTATAAATATGACTAGCATTAATTAATCAAATTATGTTGTAAAATATATAAAAGTAATTACAAAATTGAGTTTCCTTCTTAAGCCATCATCAACTAAAAGTTCTGAAGACAAAAAAAATATTACCTTAAATATTTCCATGTAATTGACTTCTTCATTTGATACGAAGATCAAGTGATAGGATGGAAACCTTTACCTAACATGTAGGACCACTTTGTAGTGAAATTGTTTCCCAAGATGTACAGACAGATATACCTTTTTCCTATTTCTTTCTGCATATCCTTATCTATCATTTTCCTTCACCCTTTAATCATGATTTCCATATTTCACCATATTGCACCTATAATGAAAGATAGAAGAAGCATGTGCAGTCCATAACAACATATGGTAAACATGAAGAGAGCAGCTGCAGCCCCCCCTGCTGGTCAGCACTCTGAATCAGGGACCAATCACAGTGAGTCACCTCAGTGCAGGAGACACTGCTGCATGTTGGTGTTAGTGTTGGAACCCACTCATTACACCGCCTCAGTGTCAGGGAACAAAGAAGATGGTGGAAACAAAAAGTATTACTTTTGCTTAGGGTTGCAAAATTCCGGCAATTTTCAAAGATGGAAACTTTCCACGGGAATTAACGGGAATTTATGGGAATAAACTGGGAATTTTCAAAATTGAAGGTTGGCTCTTCTTAGAGAACTTAAATATAGTTGGGGAAAGTATATTTTAGCATAATCTTGACTAAAACAAACAGATGCCATTCAAGTACACTTGAATATCCATGCCATAGCACACTGCTTACTGCATGGCTATTGAGACCACACAAAGGTTCGCAACAGGCTCACTAATGTGAGAGTGGAAAAAGTGGTGGGCATTCGGGCAAACCTAAGGCTCTCTGAGCCTGACACAGCCATCCTCAACAAGGCTGGACAGTGACACTGAAGAGGAAGAGGAAGAGTTGGATGTTGATGAGGCCCAGGAAGAGCCCGTTGACTGAAAGGGTAAAAAATGCAGAGGATTGCTTGAAGGAAGATTTGCATGTTTAATGGGACTTTTTGGAGGGAGAAGGGCTCTTTTCATTTAACATTTTGAATGGGACTTTGTGGGGATTTTTGGATGGGGGGTGCATTTTTGTTCATTTTTTAATGAGTGGGGTTGGGGGGGGATGAGTAACATTTAACTCAACATTCCTGTTTTTGTTCTTCAATGAAACAAATAATTGTTCAATAAAATAATTAAAACTTGTTCTGTTCTACTTAAAAAAAAATTTTTTTTTAAAAATCTGTTGAAATGTTATGTTTTTTGTTTAATTTTGTATCGAATATTTCCAAAATTCCCCAGCTTAACTTTCCATGGAAACCTTCCGGAAACTTTCCGGAAATGTACCGGAAACTTTCCGCCCCTTTGCAACCCTACTTTTGCTACATTCCCAGAAAATATATGGAAAGTTACAACTACATCTAGACTGCAGGAAACAATAGTTACAAACAGTTTTTGGAAAGTACATGTACTCAAGTACTGAGTATATTATGTGCCAGTAGCTTCTTCACTTAATCTCAGAGGCACATATTGTATTTTGAATGAGTTCAATTGTTCTTATCTGATTTCTTTCACAGAAGGGCTTCTTCATATTTAATTCATAATCTTATTCATTTATCTTTTATTCCTAAAAACATGGAGAAATAGATTTTTTTAAATGGCTGTTTTGGACAGTATGTTCTCCTTTATGGGGTAATAAATGGAGACAAATAAACTTGTAAAAAAAACTAGAATGTAAAAAAAAAAAGTAAACCTGCCTTTGCCGAATGTACAGGTTTCTGTTATTGAAATGTATGACAAATGCCACATGTTTAATAATGTAAGCCTAATTAACATAATTAAACAATTACACATTTCTAAAAAACTCTTTAAACAACAATTCTTCTAAGTAATCTACTGGGAGAGTGGAATTGTTTTATCCTTTTTTTAAAAAAAAATCATATTAACCTGGGTGTCTCCCTGTAAGTATGTGTACTGTAAGTATTATATTGCCTCTGTGAAAAAGTAGGCTATTAAAACTAATGTTATTAGATTAACACAAATGTCTAAATATAATTTCACAGTTTTTAAATATACATGTGAGTTTAATCTGTAAATAGGTATTATACTTCATAAAATAACTAAGCTTTACAAAAACTCTATAAGAACTAGAAACTAGAGCGTCAGATAGTGTGATGGAGAACGGAATGTTTGCCACTGAAATGTAGTGGAGTAAAGTATTAGGTAGCATGAAATGGAAATACTAGAAAAGTTAGTCAACATGTGCACTCCCTAGGCTACTTGGTTAGGGAAGGATCAGGATTAAAAGAAGCCAACATTAAAACAAATGTTTTAATGTGTAGTGTTAAAGTCATATACTTTGTTGACACATCCATTCACCTGAACGTCCTCCTTAAAAAGGTTTGAACGCAGGTTATTGTAGACATTTTTACATGATCATTTTATTATTCCTGGAAATAAGTGTAAAAATGTCGACCCTAATGGTGTGATCTGTTCATTGAGGTTATGCAGCAGACATTCGTGGGAATCATTTGGAAAGATCTGTCGTTTTGGAACATGTTAAATATCCTGCAAGAACTCTTTCCTATACTTCTAAATCAACAGACACGTGAGCATGGGTACATAACACCAGGACAACATTTTATTTCGCTTAAAATTGTTTATTTCTTTATAAAATGACATTCACACACTGAGTCCCTTTAGCCTTTGCCTGCGTCACAGATTTGTGCGTTTCTGCTATCCTACAACAGCTCTTTAAGCCACACACTGTCCTCTTCTCCTCCTCCAAGGAACCAGAAAACCTTACAGACATTTCAAAACCTTATTGTCTTTCACATGAATGAACAAGGAAATCACCAAATCGATTGAGCATATGAAAAAGACAAAGATCAAACTGGGTAATTAAGTAGAATTTCACACAATGGAGATGGAAAAACATTATGAAACACACTTTTCAAAATGGAGGGAAAGCAGAGGTCAATGATGAAATCTTAGGAAGAGAAATATGCTCAAACGTACAAAAGAATGTGAGGATGGATAATTAAGTTTCAGAAAAAGGCTTTACAGAACTTTCTAAAAGGCAAAATCACACAGCTATGTCTAATTTTGAAAACTTTGTGAAACAGACTAACAAAGCACTGCCACGTCATGCAGCAATGAGCCAAGTTTGGAGTTGAGGAGGCGCGGTTGAGCATTACTCGTGCATCACCATTACGAGCTGTTATTGCATCATGACTACAAAGATACTCAAGAGAAACCAGAGGCAGGCAGTGTGACGCAGCCGTACAGTGTGGACATTCAGTAGAGCTAGGCTTTAAGATATGATCGGGCAACAAATAGTGCTAACACTAAAAACTTTAGGGCCATAATTCCATTCTTTTATTTAAATGACATTACAAGGCAAGTGTTAAAGGTGGCATTTGATGAGAAACGGTGGTAAGGAAACATGGGAATCAAGTCATCTTGTTTTTCTCCTAAGCCAATTAAAGCAGACTTTTTAGGGATGTGGTCTTAAAGAGACAGGCGCTGAAACGGCGTGTTTTAAGACAGATGGTGAATACAAGTATATTCAGACAAAGAGTATGAAAAAAGTATGTGTCTTTTTCACATTAAAGCATGTAAACATGGTCTAATAGAAACCCAAATACATAATAAACATGATTTTTTTAAATGATATGTCCCCTTTAAAATGAGTCAGATAATTGAATACAAGTCAAATATTCTGCTACTACATACATTTGAGACAATCTCTCTGTCTTGCAGAAGTTTCAGCATGTTTTACCTCCTCCCCGTGTGCCCTTTTGATGCATTTGTTCCACTACATGCCAACAGCAAACAATCAGATCACACAGTGAGCCCTAACTCTTAAAAAACGGACCAACATTCAGAGTTCAGTGGAGGAAAACAAAGGATTAGTCCTTGCTGTGTACAGACAACAGTGCTGCAGCCTGACCTCCACCCTGTCTTAGTTTTCCAGGACAAACACTCGCACAAACGTCATGTGAGGACATTGAGTTGCAGTACACTATTTACTTATTCTTTCTGTACAAATAAACAGATCAGGTTGAACCAGTTCACAAAAGAGCACTAAACTAAGAAAAATGTATTCTCCAATTAGAGGTGGTTTGTCCAGAACTCCTGAGAGGACGTTGTGTAAATGAATCCCTGTATAATGAAAAACATGCATATATTTTGGGGCAATAAAAGGAAGATTTCCCTCTGTAGGATTACATAGTATTGAACTAAAGAAACTAAACGTTAGCAAGCGGCAACCACTGAAATCTGGATTTAATATTTTGATACAGCTTGTGAATTATTTTCCAAAAATATCTAATGATTAATCACACATTTTTCTAAAGATAGCCTATCACCCGGCTCTATTTTATAGGAAATATTTCTTCTGAAACCTTACATCGTCACAGTATAAATAATGTTCAAACTGGTCTACTGAAAGAGGAACCCTACTGCATGGTCACTAAGACTTATTCCAGATATATTCATTTCAAAAAAGCTAAAGTCTGAGTGGAAATGGATATCTTTCAATCTTTCGTGAATCAACTCTTTTGTACAAAGAATCTGATTGCAAAGAAGTGTATACAGCTAACATTCAGTTCCCTGTCCACTTCTTGTTATGAAGTAAACATGTCATGCATAACATAGGATCACACCACTACACTGGCTAAGCAAATAGAAGCAGTGTAACAGTTCATGTGTACACTCTTTGTGTGTTATTGGGGGAGTAGAGCTCCGATTGAGTTGCATGTTTCAGATCAACAGAATATTGTGCCTCGCCAATTCAAATCGAAGTAACAGATTATTTTCCTTAATATTCAAAAGACACTAAATCATTTGTCTGAAACCGAGCCAATCTGCACAAATCCTGTCAAGGCAAATTGATATTAAAAAAACATCGTTCCACTTGATAAAGGATCCAGTGTTTTTCTTTAACTCGGGACCAAAACATAAAACCAGAGCTACGGTGAACTGTTACACCACTAAATAAAGAACTCAAAAAAGGTTTTAGGCACACGATTGTTTAAGAAATACCCTTTGCTTAAATGAAATGAGAAGTTATAGAAAGAGCTTTTATTAGATCCTGCTCTTTTCCCTTACTATGAATCTAGCAGCGGTTACTCATCTTAAATAACATTACCAACTGATCCACGGCCTCAGTAACAACCACATTCACAATGAGAAAACATTGTAACAGCAGTATGACATACTTCTCTAAAATTCGATGTATTCTCATGCCTTGGAACTAGCATTTAGTACCAGCAGAACAATGATTCCAACTCAATGCTGAATCTTTCCTTCTGCTTTCTTTAGTCAAACTAAGTGGGATGTGATTCTCCGCTGCACTTTGTTAAATTGCATAAGACAGACTTGACATTTCCATCTCGTCTGGTGCATCAGTCCACTCAGTACATATGCATGGCTAAGTTATTCTAGGCTGCGATGAAAATCTCAAATGTCTTTGGTTCATTATTAACAACCCACAATGCAGTGTGTCACCCCGGGCCTGTTGTGTTAGGTAAGAATTCTTAACTATGCAAACATGCCTTTTTGAGAAAATTCTAAGGAACTTCTTTAAGTGTAGTTTAAATAACTCTGATCATATTTACAGAGTGGAGTCAGAAAACAAAGTACATTTCTGTTTTCTTACCCACTCTGCACTTACTAATTACTAATAGAAAAAAAAAAGTGGGCTAATTTTCACTGAAGGAATAAACACTGGCGCTGAAAAGGTGGATAAATCCGTAGCTGAAAATAGTCCCCAATCGATGCACTATTCACTCCTGGTATGTAACTGTTAAGTTCTCCTTACCTATATATGTTTATGAATGACTTTATATAAAGACTTTATGATATTTTACTGTACTGTAAAAGATATTTGTTTTTACTTGGTTGCACTAAATAAATTAAGTAAATCTCCTGTTAGAGTGTCTGTTAAAAACTACAGTAGCCAGCATTAATTTATGAAACTATACATCTGTAAGCTTTTCTTAAAATGTTATGCTTTAGTAGGAACCAATGGGTTTTAAGTTGAGTGTCCCAGACAGCATATATACGCCAGAAAGTATTGCGAGATGGACCAACACATTTTTTTGTTTTGTCTTTTCATGAGTAGTTGAAAATACAAAATATATAAAAATACCATCAGAATTATCATTTAAGTGACGCTCACTTATTGTGTTTACCCAAATCCCGCCCTGTACCACATTCAGTACCTGACCGTTTACTTCTTTTTTCATTGGAGCTGCCTCGCTGCGATTTAACGACAGTATCGATTGCAGATTCTTATTCTAACTCTCTGATAAGGTGGACTCAATCTCAGCCCTTTCAAATCTGACCACATAACCCCCCCCTGCTGCCACACACAAGTTAAAATCCCATGTCCTCAAGCCCACGCTCAGATCACACACACAAACACACACACACACACACACACAGAGCTGAAAGGCCTGTCAGTGAACATGTCTTCCGTTCTTAACCGAGTCTCTTCCAGTGAAACACCGCACGTCGGCCCCAGAACCAGAGACCCAAACACCGTCAGTCCAAGCCTGTTCCATCCAAGATTGATCCCCCCCCCCCACCCCCCACTTCTCATCCAGCCCTCGGCCTTAGTATCTGTAGTCTCTCACAACTCCGCTGTGTACTACGCCAAGCCCATCTCCTCCAACACACTCCTGGGTGACTCGTCCTCCTGTGGAGGGAAACAGGCGTTAGAATTGTGGACTCAAGAACTATTTAAAAAAAACAAACAAATATGCACATTAACTGTTCATGGGGCTGCCATTTCTAAAACTAATGAGTCACTACAGCCACAACTTTGTCAAACACTTTGGGAATATGCAACTATGAAACACTTGGAAATGTGGAAAGTAAAATAAGCATTATTAATTAATTTTTTTTTAGAGCCTAAAAACAGCCATGCAGTGAAAGCATAAGGTCTGTTCAGATTCATAATCTTGTTTACATTTTTTCCCTAAATATGATAAATAATGTCACTTTTGTTGTCAGGGCTTCCTTCAGCATAATATGGTGGACGCCTAGCCTGAAATAAAGACAGCCAACGCTAATATCAACAGACTTTCAATGAAATACGACCAAAATTCCAACCAGATTTCATAGATTTGATCGATTTGAGTGATAACCTTGTACAGAAACAGTAACTGAAACCCCAACCCTCCATGGTAGAGGTGGTGGATTGGTAGTTACCTCCTGCAGTAGGTCGGCCTGTTCGATAGCTTTGAGGACGCTCTTCTTCGACGTATCCTGGATCTCTCCTCCCATCAGGAACTCATCTAGAATGAAGTATGCCTTCTCAAAGTTAAAGATGATGTCGAGCTCACACACCTGCACAAACACACACAGGCCATCAATGCTATGCACAGCAGGGAAACACACATTCACATTGTGTTGGGAGGTACAACTTCTGTCACCTTAGCACAGTCAAATCAACGACACAGAGCAGGAGGACAACACATGTGACTCACGCTGCCAAAGTACTTATCCAGAAGCTCTACGAAGCGGTGGATGACTTCCAGTGTGATCAGCTCATTGTCCTGCTCTTCAATTGCACAACAGAAATACAGGCTAGCGTACCTGCAGGAATACACACACACACACAGATGCATAGAAACAGTCAGGCTGGAAGATTCAGGGAAAGAAAACGAGTTGCAACTATTTTTGACCGATTCCAATCATATGAGAGAGTAATCCATTTTGAAATCTTCATTATCATCCATCATCGAAAAATAGAAATAAATGACAATGGTGTGATATTTTTGTAAAAGGATTTGCACAAAATGTGTAAGCTGGGATATCTCTGCAGCACTTCATTCAAAATGGTATAGCAACACATATTTCAATGAACTGTGCAGGCCTTATGGAAACCATGTGAATTCTTCCAGACGTCACACATCCACGGTCGTTAACTCGTGTGTCTGTTTTGCTCTCACACAACAAACAAACAGCAGCTTGGAGCGATCAAATCATTATTCATGATTGTTTTATCCAACCAACAGACCTAATAACATTTCATTGCCTAAAAGTAAGAGCTTATCGTCACATTTGAGGACAAGAAACAATGGAATTTCAGGCATTTTGTGTGAAGAAGTACATTAAGATGTTTGCCTATCTATTTGCGTTGAATGAATACTGGAGTGTTTGTTCAAGCTCTATTCAACTCACATCTAATAAGTAGGCAAACGGCCGATCTGCTCACGCACAGACACACAGCTCCATCTGTAGGGACTTGGGAACTGAAGGGTTGCCGGTTCAAGTCCCGATTGGACCCAAAAGAAATGGGAGGTGGAGATGTGCCAAAAACGGAATTTTCCAACCGATTAATAAAGGTTCATCTTAACTGATGTTTGCATTGACTACGCACTCAACAAAGGAGGCCAGATTGACATATTTCATGTAAGACAATATATCCAAAACACCAGGCTTGCACAGAAAGGGTTAACAGGGGGTTTCTGATACAACAGAACAGAGCTTGTATTGTGAGTGCAGTGTTCCCTCATTTCAACTCCACTGCAGGAAATCCCTGTGTGCTCCTCTCATCTCCCGCCCACGCACACACACAGGCTTCTTCGTTTGTTAGTCCACCTCTGCATTCTGCTCGCACAGTAATGAGCCCTGACACACACTGATGTCACAGAGTGTGTGTGTGTGTGTGTGTGTGCAGAAAGAGCTGTGAGAGAGGAATGCTGGGTCTCACCCTTTCCACCCACCTCAAATCTAATGCTGCTCAGCCCACATAGAAACAGACTTGTATTGGTCTGTGGGAGGAGAGCTAAAGTAAAAAGACGACGCAGTCAAACTTGCTGCTTCCTTTAAGTCACATCAAGACTTTTTACTGATGCAATGGAATCAACTCGTCCCTGATATCAAAGTAAAGAAACTAAAAGATATGCTTGACGTCAAAATGTTGCTGGAAGTACAATGGGGCTCCTCCAAGGCTATTGGTGCATTCACATGCCCCTGGGATAATGATGAAAATAATGAGCTGCAGCCCTAGGAATGAAATGCAAATCAATACGGTATCATCATCATCATCATCATCCAGCATCATCCTCTGCTCCTGCTGTCACTGTAGTGCAACATTTTACTTTAATGCAGTACAAATACATGTACAGTGATTTGTTATACTTGATTACAAGGAACACCGGAATGCAACAATTAACCGGTGCATAATTGTTATTGTCTGTCCTAGCTGATTAGTCGAACCATTTCAAGAATCTGGATTTCTGCTCGCTCCGCCGACGGGTTCAAATACTGATAAACTGTTTATTACCAACTAAATATGTTTTTATTTAAACTATCTTCTTAATGAAACTTGTAATATGAGTTATTATACAATATAACTTTAGATATTCTATATATTTGGTTCTCTTGCTTATAATGAATAAAATCATTGGATATTTAATACAAATTGTTTGTGCATTTCATTGTTTATTCATTTGTATTATCATTATATGCTCAGCCTAAAAGCCAAAGCTAATACAGGTTATGTTAAATTAACAAATGGTGTGCTTTTTTTGAACAATGAACATTAATGAAGTTGGCCAAACATTCAAAGTAAACTCTTTGCTTTTGTCTCGGGTGGAGGGAATACTCAAGTACTGCACTTAAGGATTTTTACTTGATGTGACCATTTTCTTTTGATGCTACTCTATTACACTACATTTTATAAAGATAATTGTTGGGGAAATATTTTCCTAGGACCCCACACCTTTGACCCAGTTTGCCTGCAGCCTTGGCTGCTGTGCTGTCAGTGTTGTGTCTCCCTGTTCCTGCCTGCCGGCGTCAGCTGACAGAGGTGTTATGGTTCTATCTTGTTATGCACAATGTTGATTCTTCTCTCAGAACGAGCTAAATACACGGGTCTGGGGTAGAGATCTTCAGAATTGGTTTGGCAGCAGCTGTGTCAACTCGTGGCACAGCACATGTCTTGTGAATTCTCCGGCCGAAGCTCCAAATAAAGCGTCAGTGTTTGCCATCAAAGCTCCTGCTCTCCTCGTGTCTCTCTGAGTCTCCATTTGCTCCAGAAGTTTCCATCACACTAATGAAGTTATTTTTAACCACTACATTTATCCGACAGCTTTAGTTACAGATTATGATACTATTCAATACAAATTATAACTAAACTAATAAATCAACTTTGATATATTATTATAGATTAATATTTCCAGCATCAGTAAGTAGAGTAATTCAAATGAGCTCCATCTTTACCAGCCGTTATAAACACAATAATGCACAAATAGTCAGAATCTAATTGAAAATGAGATTTTATCTCAATGTTTTTATCTGGTTAAATAAAGGTTAAATAAAAATAAAATAATAATTTCCTAAATGCAATTCTTAAATTACGCACAATAAGTACTTTTACTTCAAGTATGTAAAGTATATTTGAATGCCATTATACATACTTTTATTTCGATTTTAAATGCAGGACATGTATATATGTTACAGTGTCATTACAATGTAGTATTCCTACTTTTACTCAAATTCAAATTACTTCTAATATTACTAATATTTACACTCAGCAAATAATGAGAACAAGAAAGTGAAATTTGAGTAAAAAGAGAACCATATTAAATACAGTAACTCATTAAAGAAATCACTGACATGAGCACTTATGTAAGACTCTCCCAGTTGCCGGGCAGAAACAGGAGGAACCTTTTGACAGTTTTTGATCAGTACCTTTTATAGACAATCTTGAGGTCCCTCCATTCTAGAAAGCTGCACATTTTTGGTTTACGGGCGAGCACCATCTGCATGAGCTCCCTGACCATCTTCTTCTTGTCGCGCTCCGCTGTGGCGGTGTACCACTTCTGCAGCCGCAGCTTCCCCTGCCGGCTGAACAGCAGCATGAAACGCATCTACACACAGAGAGAGAGAGAGGGAGACTTTCAGAACAAGGGAACAGAGGCAGGGACGCATTCAGCAGAGGGGGGTTGATATACAGTATGTTCCATGTGGAAAAAGAATTTCTAACATTTCTGAGAAGAAATTATGAAAACGTTTTTGTTTGGTTTTTTTCATCACATGACAGTGCTAAATACAGAATTCATCATTTTATTATATTTCTCTTTTAATTCTGAACAGATCTGATGGAAGTTTAAAGTCTGCAGTTGCACAGGACTGAGTAGTAGGCTGACATTCAAATGAAGTAAAAGCAGAACATACGCTCACTGTTTTAATGTTAGAGCCCATGTCTGCACTCATTTACCCCTCCACAAGTCTAAAAACAGACACACACTGTTGGCATAGTGGTACATTTAGCGTCTTAAGAGCCAGAAATCATTCTCAGGAGTTAAGGGAGACTAAATTAGAACCTACATTTAGCCAGTTAACAGACTTGCATTGGGATGATAATGCTTCTCTGTGTCTGCTGAATATGTACGAAGGCAACTTACATTACAACTTTATTAACAGGGGATATTGAGACGTTTTACTTGACCAATTATTGGTTCATCTCTCTTATAAAGATGACATTCTGCTCATTTTCAGGTTCATACTTATATTCTGTGTCTCTACTGGGACATGTCTCCATGCTTTAATGTTCAAAAAGCTCTTTATTTCTCTCATACTGCCTGTGCTGCAGCACCTCTTTTCACCCTCTGTCTGAAACCAGAGCCCAGTCTGCTCTGATTGGTTAGCTGGTCGGCTCTGTTGTGATTGGTCAACAGCTTAGAAATGTCCCGTCTTTGAGCAAATCACGAACAATGTGTTGGAGCGCTAGCCAATAGAAGTCTGAGTGTTAGACAGTGATTTCACTTTACTACGGAAAAGAAAAAGGAGTCCAATGGAGGGCAAGGGGGACGTAGGGATTTTAGCCGTTGCAGACCATTTACATGCATACAAACCTATGACACACTTCAGAAAAGGGAAGACCCAATAAAGCCTCTTAAATAAACAGATTTCTACATAGAGTTTGGTGTGATATTTTCTCCACAAAGAAAAAAAAATACAGTATACACCCATATGAACGGATCCTAGCCTACTGTCAGGTGCATTTATTCACAGGCAAATAGTCTATGCAACAATGAATATCAACACATACTGCTACAGTGCATCTAGGATTATTACACCTTCAATAAAACTCAACGACTCACACGATCATAGAGCATAGATCTACCGCACCAACTACTATTTATCTTTAAATTACATGCAAACCTCTTTAGGGTCTATATGACAAAAGAGACAATGTGGGAGGTGTGGTTCCTGTTTGTTTTATAGGTGCAGGATGCTTGGATGGAATATATCTAAATATAGTCTTAAGAGCTATTCCAACATGGACTATGTGTTTTAGTGCAAAGGAGACTCTGGTGTTTATACTGCATATTATTTACAACTTGACGGTTCAACCCTTGTGGCAATAATGACAAACTGCTAAGTCTGGTCCAACACTGTTTGAATATTTAACAACAATGACTGAATTATGCATTTAAAGATTACTGCTTTCAACAATGCCGGTCTTATAGTGTCTTTTTTTAACAGCAAGAAAACAGAACCCAGAGCTTATATTTTGTAAAACATTGATATTGTACACAGTGATATATCTTTGCTGTAAAGAAAAACATGTATAGCCGAGCTAAATGACATATACAGCTTAACATAGTCAAACAATAATCATAATATATCTTGTTATTAGGTACCAACATCTGAGTGTATTTGCCAGCAACAGTTGTCACTAAACCAAAAGCATTAGTGGCCAATTACATATACTAGTTGGGACACATATTTTTGGAAATGTAGTGTACTAATACATTTAACAGTTATTTAATAGTTGATATGACAATTTACTTAACAAATAAATAGCTACAATGCATTGTCATCTACTGTCATATCCATTGCTGTGTATGTAACTGGTTAGAAGAAGGCAGTTGTTTGACAGTCGTCTAACTGTCACCTCCATGACACCGACTAACACCTGGGCCTAAAGTCGTTACCTGCGACAAGGAAACTCGCCAATTATACAGATAGAAAACATATTCAAGGCTCATTCAACATTACTCAATGTCAATATGATACAGCTAACATTTCAAGGGTCATGCGTTGAATAAAGCGCCACAGTGTGTTAGAAATACAAGATTATTTCCCACCTTATGCTGATATACGGCCTGTTAGCTCGCAGGCTATCCTGACAGAAGCCAGGTGAAGGTAGCGCAGGTGGACACTTCCTGTAATCATACACCTTGCTAGCTTTAGCTTAGCACGTAGCTCCTGCCCCTTTTTAAGCGGAAGAGAAGCAGTCACTTACCATTTCTCTTACTTTTTAAACTACCGTGACGGAACACACGAATACTATTTCTACACTGCCTGGTCCGCGTGAACAAATACACCGCAGCTAACGTTGACAGTACATGTCAGTGTGAGATACTACGAGGTAAATTGAGCTGTACCCATTCACCGCTACACTGAACAGTTCCGCCTCTACTGAGCATGCGCGGGAAATTACTTTTTTCGCCCTGAATCTTGCCTCTCAGGTAACACCCATCTCGTCATGTCTAACAAATATGTACATAATGCAGTGGTGGAATGTATGTAACTAAGTACCATTTCTCAAGTACTGTACTTAAGTAAAATGTTAAGGTACTTTTACTCTACCTGAGTATTTTCATATAATGGTACTTTATACTTCCACTCAACTACATTTGAGAAGCCAATGAATATAGTATACTTTTTACTCCACTACATTTCTTTGACAGCTTTTAGTTTATTTTTACTTTTTAGATTTAGATACATAAATACCATTAATGCATACTCATAATCCAGTAATTTAATGTCTATTATGAAATGAGCCACATTTGGTACTTAGGTATATTTTGATGCCACTACTTTTGTGCTTTTACCCGAGTAAGATTTTCAATGGAGGACTTTTACTTGTAACTTGAGTATTTTTACAATTTAGTAATGCCACTTTTACTTAAGTAGAACATCTGTGTACTTCTTCCACCTCTGTACATATATATTTTTACAATTGTATCCACTTTGAATAGTCATATTCTTCTTTATTTGTTATTGTTTTACTTTAAAACAAAAAGTCCTGCAAACCACAGAAGATCACATATCTAAATATAATTACCTTGAATTTCCTAATACGTATATAAATTGTAATTAAAGCATTACATAATAGCCAGGCACATTTTTATCTTGCACTTTATATGTCGTAGCTGCTACATTGTACTGCCATGTGGTAAATGCTTGTATGCTGCTCATGCTCTTCCTGGATATCATGTATTTATTTTTGCTATGTATATAAATGTCATTTTCTTATATGTTGTATGTGACGGGACTACGGATGGAAATTAGCTCAAAGCTAAAATCCAGCTCATTTACACTTGTAAGCATTATTTAGTTTTAAAGTGTTCATCAATGTGCACTGTCCCGATTCAAATAAACGATTAAAAATGTGTTAAGCATGGATAGATCTACATTACATCTTGTTTTTTAAAGGGGACGCATTGTGCTTATTTAAAGCTTCATACTTGTGTAGGACATGTTTACATTCTTTAATATAAAGAAAGCAAACATTATAATTCATATACTTTCTGAATATAGCTGTATTCGCCTCCATCTGAATAGCACCATTTTAGTGTCAAACTTTTTAAACACCCTTCGAAAAGCCCAGTCTTTGATTTGATTAAATCAGTTCTATTATAATGGACATGCATGTGATATGGGAAGAAGAGCCAATTCGGAATGGCATGACCCATTTTTTGAGCCCACACAAAGCTGATAGGGTTGATTTATCTTACAGTGTGTGGGTTGGAAGGCTCTCCAGATACCAAATAGATGTGCAAAAGCACTGGAAAAGTATGTTTTTCATGACCCATTTCAAATAGGGTAGTCATTACTTACAGTAGGCTGTTTAAACACCAGAGGTCAGTGTTTACCTTCCACAGATCTTAACACTAGAGTAATCACAGACTGCATTTTTGTAAAAACATAGTATTTTAATAAATATAAATACAGCAAAATACAAATGTTATTTGGCAACAACAATGAAATAACAAAAATAGACATTAGAAATAACATTGTAAAAATAGATAAACATATATCTTGTTTTAGTACTGCAGTGCATCGGGGCCTGTTGTGTCAGACAACAGTAAAATACTCAATTAGTTAACTTTCCTTCATACTTCTTTTTCTTTAGTCATTTAGAGAAATAAATAACAACAAACAAATAAACTCCCAGTCAGTAATGTTTCCAATGTCTGTTGTAATAAATGTGTGTATCTATTTGCCCCAGTCTTATTGTATTAAGTACCTTATACATAAAGGTGTCAGTGAATAAGTCTATTGAGTCGTAATAAGTCATATAAACTGTGTACAGTAGGTGTGGTGTGTGTATGGTCATCATGTGGAGTGTGAGCAGCAGTAGTCAGACGCAGTGGAATGAAGGCGGGTCTTCAGAGTGGGTTCATGTTGTTAAGGCTGGTTGAACTGGCCCATGAACAGAACAGCACCTGAACACAGGAAGTCAAACATTAGACACACCATCCCACACGCTCAGGTCAGATAAATACTTCTAAAATTGGATTTTAAAATAAAATGGGAAGAAATAGTGTTACCTGTTGGTTTGTGCTGGATGAGGAAGAGGAAGGGTCGGTCCAGAGTGAGCTCCTCCACTGCCATACGGGAAAACATCACAGCAGCTAAAGGAGGGAGAAATAAAAAACCAGGTCAGAGTCTGGAGGTTTATGCCTGAAGCCCTGGATACTCCAGAATACAATCTTATCTAATGTAAATTGTGTTTACAGTCATTTGATTAAACACACAACATGTCAAAAACATCTATCTGACACAGGGCCCTCAATAAGACAGGGCCACACATACGATTATTATCACATGCCCTATGATTGTGTCTTGTTATGGTGTGTATTCTAAGATCAACTTTCAGAATGATTTGACAATTCAACCTATTTCCAAGAAAATGCAGTCCTTAACTCAATTTGAAATGTTCAGTTTTGTAAGCCAATATAAAAATGACATGATTTCTCTCCAAAGGTATTGACACAAGCTAACCAGACCTGTGACTCAGTGTTAGCATGTCAGTAGTGTGATGTTGTTGTGTGTATCCTTCTGTATGTTGTAATAATCTTAATTTGTATGGTTAAAAAAGATTACAAAAATACTTTATTAAGAGTTTCTGGCTTTGACTGCAGCTTTGTTTTTATGTTGCATCCTTTATTTAACATTTGACTCAGCATTTCCCTTGGTAAAAAGCGGTTGTGTGTTGGTGTGTGTGTAAGAGAGGGAGAGTTTCAGTCGTGGGTCTACCTGTTGCTGCTGCTCCTTTGGTTCCTCGCTCATTCACCTCGATCTTCACTCTCTGTAGAACCTTCGACACACACAGCCTCTCATCAGCTGGAGGGCAGAAACACATAGATTAGATATATTGTTTATCAGAAGGCTTTCCACTCATTCTGGAAAATAACATGCTCATATACTTGTATGGTAAAGTTCAAGGTTAACTTAGGATTTGAACTTACTGGTGATGCGTGAGAAGTCAGCAGTAGCCAGGTTGAACATGTCTCCCAGACCCATGTTGATCAGGCAAGTCTTCAAATCCACCTCAGAGTTCAGAGTAAACCTGTGGAAACACACACAGTAATAATGTAACCCTGGTATCCACTAAACAATTCCTATGACACAAACAACCAATAAAACTACACTTAGAAAGTATATTTTCATTCATTTCCTCTTATCTACCCATACTCTCTGACCCGTCCTCCCTTACCTGGGCATGGCGAGCTGTCTCTTGACACTCCTCAGCTCTGTTCTCCACTGCTTCATCCTCTGGCTGCTCAGATCGGCACTGAGCGTGCTCAGAGGAACTTCAGGCTCGAAGGGCGACACCAGCAGCATGCTCAGGGAGTCACCCTCGTACGGGACCTCAATGACATCATAGTCAACGCCTTCGGCTGTCACAAACTCGCCTGTTGATATAGGAGAACGTTTTTTTTTATTAGTGTCATCTTCCAGTGTTGGATTTAGATCAAGCACGCTGGTGGTGTAAAGTAACTAAGTAGATTGACTTAAGAACTGTAATGTACCACAGCTTTGATAACACTTTAATGATCAATAATTATAATCAAAACATCAAATACATAACTTTTCTTCTTTGACTTGAGTGACATTTTGAATGGAGGACTTTTACTTGTAACAGAGTATTCCTACACTCTGGTACTTCTACTTTTACTCAAGTACAAGATCTGAGTACTCCCTCCGCCTCTGACTGGGACAGGGTGTTGAACATACCATAGTTGAAGCGGTTGGTGAGTCCCATCATGTGCACGGGCACGCTGCTGCCGTTGGCACAGTGGAACATCCTCTCCTGGGTCAGTTTGGGGTCAAAGGGGACCTTCCACAGGCCCTGGAAGTGGAGGGCATTCAGGAGGACCAGGCGGGTCTCGTCACTCAGAGAGCCAGGCGCCAGGAACTCTGGGATCTCACCTGCAGAATACAAAATCAACAAATGAGTCACGAAGGATTCAGAAGATGTGAGCACTTGAAATGAACATCTCTGCGGTAGGTACCTCCGGTGTGGTCTGAGACCCAGGAGTTGATGATGTTGACCGCCTGCTCTGGCTTGGTGAAGTCCACCTGGTTGGGGTGGGTCTGGAAGGCCTTGGTGAGGGCCCGGCGGTACCCCTTCTCCAGACTCATCTTCCTCTCCACCATGACCCCGCTGGCGGTGTCCACCCCCTCCTCACTGGACAGGTCCCGCTGCAGGAGGCGCTGCTGCCGGGACATTCCTCGCTCTGCGGGCCACAAGAGGTCAGGGTTGGTTTGACACTCATCTTACAACAATAATACACCGTTATATTTCCCTCCTCCCATGCTAGAGTTGACCTCATCCACAGTTTTATTACCTCCATAGCACTTCTTTTTTGTCACCATGTCATGTAACTTATTAAAATGTGTTTGTTATTGGCTTTATTCATCTTGTATGTAAAGCCTAAGCAAAAACGTTTTTCATACACTGCTACATTTTGAGATTTTGGGTGATTTCACCTCCACAGCATTGTCTTCTTTTAGACAGGTGTTTTTTTAATACACTTTGTCTATTTACTAGGGATGCCAGAAACTGACCATGATCAAATTCGAAAATCGGACAGCCCTGGCGAATATTAATCGATTATTCGCCCACCCCACCCCGACTTTACTTCGTTTGCACTTGTCAGTTCGAAGTAGTTCCACAAGGAACTCTTCTTTGAACGTGCCGCTTTGTTCATCTTTAGTTGTGTTGTTCTCACTGTTCTGTATGTCGCCAATAAATCAATCGCACGTGAGACGGAGAAGGGGGGGGGGGGGGGGGGGGTCGGTGTGTAGCAGTCTGCACTCTGCGGCTTCCTCCAAGTTTACAGTAAAACAAACTGGTGGTGTGACCAATGGCCATTTACAATTATTAATACTATTACTATTATTAG